GGTTTTTCGCCCTGACAGTCATGTCGGGACCGGGAATCTTTTAACCTGGGTAGATCAAATGCTCTGTGGAATTCGTATTCGAAATTCTTGTTGGTTCTTTTTCTTTAAAAAAAAAAGAGCGTGGCTGATGTTTGACAAAACGTATATGGCGGGACTATGGATACTCTCTTCTATCAGTAAAACCAGCCTTATTTCTCCCACTTCCCATTTTTCCAGCTAAGGCGGCCAATTGGACCGGGAAAATCGGGAGGAACAGGTTTACTGTTTCCCGTTGACCAGTCATTTTTATCGAGCGACAATCCTAGAGAAATGATATGGTTAGCTACGTGATGCCAAATTCAAAAGTAGGTTTTGGCCTGGGATACTTGCCGAGAAGGAACATCGAAAAGGAGTCTGTGGGATTCGAATTAGTACAATCGAGTCACTTCCAGTTTTAGATTTCATCAGGTCAATGGAAGTTCAACTTACCAGCATTCCCAAGTGCGAACTTTGGCTTCTCCCGGGCAAGCTGGGTGATGAGTTTCCACCCGTAGCATGGTTCGTTTCCGAGTTCTTCATCAACTATTATCCTGATTAGACAGATGCCGGGGTTCTATAGGCTGTACATACCTGTACGGTCATTACAAAGCATCAAGCTTGAGTGTGAGAATTCATGGGCCAATATAGTTGCCATATTGGCATAATCAATGCTGTCAATTGTTCTCGAATCGGTTTCAAACGTTTTTTTCCGTAGACTCGCGATGGACGCAGAATTGATGTCATTCCAATTCGAAGGTTTCAGCGCCAGGTCACACACGACAATGAGGTCTACTAATTGCCCGGTATCCCACCTCCCGTTTGTCGAGGACCATGCCTCTGTTTTCCCACTACTGCATGGCTTTAGGTCCGCCTCTTTGTCAAAATAGGCTACCTGTTGGCCACCCCATTCCATTGGTCGATTGTCTTTGATTTCACGTTTGGGGTCGTATACTATAGACATATAGTTCATAAGGACAAACTTGATTCTCGAATGTATTTGACCGGTCCAAGAGAAAAACTTACTGTCAGGGTCATCATCCGATAGGAACTTTTCTCGACATACAATGTGGAGCTTATATTCGGGATCATCGAAATGCTTGAGCATCGTTGTCATCTTTTCTAATCGGAGTAAATAGCTGAATAGATCACGCTTTCTAACAGGGAATGACTAACGATGTATACCCTCCACCTTTGAAATATCACTGCATGGATTTATCTTTCCGTACACGGTTTCGAAAAACATCAGAGCGGAAAGGTCAGAGCCTTTGACCAAATCATCCGGTCCTGGGTTCCTCTTGAGCGCTTTGACTAGACTTGAAGTGCGGGCTTCTGCAGTAGTAAGCTGTCGCCACTGTTAGAAAGAGTGGTGGGCTTGCTAAGGTAAATAAAAGAACTCACCAGTACTTTCACACTGTCCAGTCCCTTGGAGATGACACCTTCTTCCAACAGACTGCAGTCACTGATTTTTAGCTGAAACTTCACTCCATTAACAAGAACAAGTTGCGATGACAGTACAGCCACTAGAAATTTGGCCAAATGTCCCGAGAGACCAGGCACTGGGAGCTTCATCTTGCCGGATGTAATCAGATTGCTAAGACTCTCTCACTGCCGAATTTCAATTCGACAGAGCTTGCTTCATATATTGTATGATTGCTGTAAACCAAAATCACGCAACAATGCGTCTTTTTTTTTGTACGGTCTTTGAATGCAAACCTCGTAGCGCAAATGCCTCAAATTATGTAGGTCTAATTAACACCTTCTCGCTCCTCCCGCTCTCCGCAACAAATAGCTGCGGAGTTGCGTAGTGTGAGCGGTGATAAGTTTCCCATAGTGATGAGTTTTCTGCTTGCTTTAAAGAAGTCGCATGATAGTCGACAAGGACCATCCATTTGCACTGGTCGTTTTGGAAAATTCTCCTGTTTGTTGCAAGTCCACCGGCAGTAGTTGAAGCTGGCACGTCTTGCGAACCGTCTCTGTATCACGCAACTTTTTGCATCACAAGAGAACAGAGTCTCGATTCCTGTATCCGTTCATCTCCCGAGTTCTTCTCAAAGGTTTCTTTACTAACCGGATCTTTGACTCTATTCCTGAAACTCTGCGGGTCGTGTTTCATTAGCAGAGTGTGGAGCTATCTATCGTCGGTGGCGTATCAGCGAGGTTCGAGATATTGATAACTGCATAATAGTCCTCGGGTGGATTACACCACAATGGTTTTTGAGGATTCTCGGTTATTGAAGTAAGTAATGGGTTGCTCCGACTGCTTGTCAGAAGGAATTGGCAACGAACCGCTGCCGTTTCAGCAAACAGCCATCTAGTCATGCATGTAAAAATGGTAGGGACCGTGATCCATCGACCTAGGTTACTAGGTACCGCTGAAACGTAATAGCCCGCATCATTGCAGACCAGACAAATAATAAACAAAGGCCGTTATTCGACACACTGTCTTTATACTGAGCGCTGAGGCCATCGAGAACTGCGCCCGGCCTAACATTCCCATTAGGACATGCATCCGCAGACGATGTTTGTTATGTATCGACTCAAGCTCGGGAGGTTACCCAGACATCAGTGTCTCGGCGTATAGATCGGCTTTCACCGGTACAGAGCAGACTCTGCCATATTCCTCCAAAGCAATCGATTTTCGACAAATTCTTCGCGTTGGATGGCCGCTTAGTCAGCAAGAGTCCTCGCTGCTTTTACCAACTTCGAGCTTCAGTGCAACGGCTGCTCAACCAACATCCTCGCCGCTTCTTATTGCCAATGAGTATTCAATCATCCCCATTCCAGCACATATTATTATTTGACAGTTATTATTTGCTGCTGAGAGAGGGCTCAGACATGATTCTCTGAGGGTGCCAAGCCATAACTACGATGATCAAAGTGGCGTCAAGCGCGGTTCACGTTCCCGCAAGCTCACTAACTGACTAACTAAATCATAGGGCCTTGGTAGCAAGACATCACTGGAGTCAAGGGTATCAGATGATAGTTGACTATCCCTGCCTTGCTCCTCTCACCTGCTTCCTGGAATGCTGGTATATTGCTGCATTCTTGTTTGCACAGCCGGAGCCTACATGTGTATATAAGAGTGAGTACATGTCTGTTTCGTTTGTTCTTCACCACAGTCACTAGCCAAGTCTGCTTGTACGCAAGGTATGCCTGCAACTGATCTTGAGGTCACAGTCGGAGCGCTGAGAACCGTGTGAGCCATGTTGTGGAGATGGACGAGCACGAGAATTGCCTTGGCTCCATTCGGTCTCATCTGACCAGCTTGCTAATTTCTACGTAGGTGCGGTGTGATTTAAAAGAAGATGGTAATCATCTGAATCACGAAAATGGCGCGCTCAGTTTCTTCACGACCCCTCGCCGAAGGCCAAAGCAATGGCGATGCGGACGATGAAACCTCAAGTCTCCTCCCGATCACCTCCCCTCCTTCTCCAACCACGCTTCGTCGTCACCAAGGCATCCAGTTCACCGGATTAGATCGACCCTCCAGGCGCGTGCAGGACATGGGCGAGAGAGTCAGTCTTCTAGGCGGCGATGGTGCGCAGCGATCCTATACCACGATACCTGCTCCTCCCCGACCGGATGCCTTCTTTAGGCATAATAGCGCTGCTGGCAGTGTCCGCATGTCCAAAAATCACAGCCGTGCAAACTCCCAGGCTACGAGATTTGGCCCAAATGGCGCTATCCAGTGGTCCGACAATCTTCCTTCGGGAGCCGAGGCGCGATTTTCGGATAACAGAGTTTGGTACGATCAGTTTACCTCCACGGATTGGGTCCACGATACTATCGCCGACGGGATCCGGCTCCGAGAGTTGAGGAGCCGAAAGGATATCCGTGGCAGATTCTTAGCCTGGGTCGATGGGGCACAGGGCTGGATTCTCGTCGCCGTCATTGGAATCGTGACTGCTTGCTTCGCCTATTTCGTGGATGTGACTGAACGGGCGCTGTATGACCTTAAGGAAGGGTTTTGCACAGACAACTGGTTCTCTAGTAGGCATCATTGCTGTGTAGGGGAGGATGAATGCCAGTCATGGAGAACATGGTCTGATATCTTTGGAATTTCAAAAGTCGACAAGCCTTGGGTTGACTTCGCCGCCTTTGTCGCCTGGGCCGTTGTTCTTGCAGCCGCGTCTTGTCTTCTTACGCTCTTAACCAAAACCGTTGTTCCATCCTCAATTTCACTTTCAACATTGGATGAAGATCTTGCGGCTGGCGGAGTGGGTATATCTGAAGATATTCCCACCCGATCAGATCCTAAAGCTGGGTCCGATACAGGTGCAACTGATGCTTCCGATGGTTCGGCTCCACCAATGGTCTATTATTCTGCAGCTGGTAGCGGGGTTGCAGAGGTCAAAGTCATCCTAAGCGGGTTCGTTATCCATGGCTACCTTGGGATGAAGACTCTGATTATCAAAACCTTAGCACTAGTTCTTAGTGTTGCATCAGGCCTGAGTGTTGGCAAAGAAGGCCCTTATGTGCATATATCCACTGCTATTGGGAATATCTGTTGTCGAATATTTTCAAAATATCAGCATAACGACGGTAAACGGCGTGAAGTTCTGAGTGCAAGTGCTGCCAGTGGTGTCGGCGTCGCGTTTGGTGCTCCAATTGGCGGTGTTTTGTTCAGTTTAGAAGAAGTTAGGTATGTGATAACTACCCTGCCGATGTGAGTTACAGATCTACTAACTCACCTTGCTGTAGTTATTACTTTCCTCCGAAAACCCTCTTCCGCACATTTTTCTGCTGCATTGTAAGTTTAACCTTTTAAGAACTAGTCTCGGGTAGTGTTACTGACATTTTTTTAGGTTGCCGCGCTTTCATTGAAGTTTCTAAACCCCTATGGAACTGGAAAGATTGTGTTATTCCAAGTACATTATTTATCGGATTGGGAGCTGTTCGAGCTTGCATTATTTATGATTCTTGGTGCTCTGGGTGGAGCTGCTGGAGCGCTTTTTATCAAAGCTTCAAAAGTTTGGGCTCAGTCCTTTAGAGCAATTCCGGCGATCAAACGATGGCCAATGTTAGAGGTCATTTTGGTCGCATTTCTTACCGGCATCATGAGTTGGTGGAATCGGTACACAAAATTGGCGGTATCTGAGCTCCTTTTTGAGCTCGCAAGCCCCTGTGATTACGCCCAGGCAAGCAATACAGGACTATGCCCAACAAAGGAAGAAATCCCGGACGTAATCCGTTACCTTATCATTGCTTTCGTGATCAAGGCTTTCCTAACGATTGTCACTTTCGGCATCAAAGTACCCGCCGGTATTTACGTGCCTTCGATGGTTGTTGGAGGCCTAATGGGCAGAACGATTGGGCATATTGCGCAATATTTTGTCGTCCATTATCCAAACTCCTTCCTTTTCGGGAGTTGTCCGAGTACTCGAGGCCCTTTGGCCTGTGTCAACCCGGGAGTGTATGCCCTTATTGCCGCTGGCTCTACCATGTGTGGTGTGACTAGATTGTCTTTGACTTTGGTCGTTATTTTGTTTGAATTGACCGGTAGCCTGGATCACGTCCTTCCCTTTTCCCTAGCGATTTTGTGTGCGAAGTGGACTGCGAATGCTCTGGAGCCGTTGAGTATATATGTGCGTAAAATGTTTATACCGTTCCTCTCAGGCAAAGCTAACAGTGAGACTAGGACCTTCTTACGGACATGAATTCTTATCCTTATCTTGATAATAAGCTTAACCCCATCACCGATACTGAGCTTGGTGAAATTGTACCCCCTGTCCGAATGTCACGCATCATTGACATTACCGAATCTCCTCTTATCCCTGCTTCTGAACTTCGTATCAAACTTGATAGGCTCCTCCGTGGTGGCGAATTAGACAGCGGTCTTCCGATTCTGCGTAACAAAGTCCTCGTTGGTTTTATACCAGCCCCTGAGCTTGAGTTTGCTCTAGACACATTGGAAACGGAAGATACAATGTGCTTGATGTCGATGAATACGTCGTGGCACAATGTGGAAGACCAGGACGGTTTCGAACCAACGGACTTTACGCCTTATATCGACCCAGTATGTAGATTTCTATTTTCTGCATTATCATTTCGAGGTGTTTACCTTGCTTTTCTTGAGCCCACTGCTAACACTGCCTCTTAGTCACCTGTTGCGCTAGACGTCCATTCGCCGATCAATCTTGTTTATCAGTGCTTTGTTAAATTAGGCCTACGGTACATGTGTGTGCTCCGTGATGGCCAGTACGCGGGCCTAGTGCACAAGAAATGGTTTGTAAAATTCATAAAAGAAACCCACAAGTCTGAGGGCGCCTGAGCTGTTCCACATTTCCCGGTGTCAGGGTTCCATTGGGGCGGCAGGAAACAGAATCATGATACCAGATTTTGGCAAAGCCAAAATTATCTTCCTGTTGATATATTTTAATGGGCTTCTTCCTCTTTGGTTAGTGTGAAGAGCGGCTAATGGATACCCTGGAATTTTCCCTCTGCTGCTCTAGTTGACAGCCTAAGAATTTTGTTTTTTATCAAATTGATTCCTGCTTAAACCTGCAAATATATAGTGGTGAGACTGTGCCCTTTTTGACGCTGTTTATATTATAACCCTACTTCTTTCTGTCTATGCCCGTGATAGAGCATGGTGATGGTGTTTTTGAATCCAGAGACTTTGCAGCACATTCATATCTCAAAAATACCCCTTTGACTCGAATAGATATTGCTTATAGGTTGACTGAGGATGCACACGATTGACTGATAACCCTGTCATCAAACCAAGTTAACCACGTATTTTAATTGTTGCTTATGTTTATCAGCAGACTACCAATCCAGTATTATCAGTCACCAACTCGAAGCACTTTTCTGTGATCGCTAATCTGCCGGTTGAATCCATAGAATTTCAATTGGCACACCCCTTTCAGCCACTTGTGGGAAGCCCTTGTAGAACCAACAAATTAATAACTCAACAAATTCTACTCAATTTGCCCATTCATCCAGACATGATTATTGGCTCCTGAGGTCGATGACCTTTTGCAGAGCATCAGTCGAGTCCATACAAAGAACACACACCTGGTCGCGCGGATAGCACCCACCGGAAGGATGATGTGCCTTGCGGCACTAATCGCACTTCTTTTCACCTGGCAAAACCTCACACGACAGCCGGGTCCCCGTACTGGGGTAAACAGCGAAGGCAAGGCATGCGCATACTCTACACTCTCATCAGCAGACTGACAAAAAAAAACTCTGCGCCAAAACTCACCAAACACAGCAAAATTGCGCAAGTGATGGCAGCGCAAAAGCATCCAACTCAAGGGTCTATGCAGGAACCATCCTAGCACATATGACCACAGAAAGTGGAAAATAGGGCTTCCTGTCTGCTCAGCTGTAGTTACTCAAGCCACTTGCCAGCTGGCTAGTAGTTGGGTGGGTGATCACCAGCAAATCCCAGCTGGTGTATGTTTTTGCCCATTCACTCTTTCATCTCTGGTGTGAAAAGATGCCCTGGCTGCTTTTTGTCTCACTCCTCTTCATATATATTCTGATATTCTTCAGGTATCTTCAGCTTTCTTCAGCTCTCTTCATTCTATCTCAGTTTGATGAGTCTGCAATTCTCACATGAGCATGCTATTTTTCATCATTTCTTTCTTCTCTTCACTTTTTTTTTTGACTCTGTCACTCTGCAATCATCCAATCCTCTCTTTTTTCTTCTTCACATGCTGATGTGAGACTTTTTCATTAATCCAAATTATCCAATCTTTTTAATCATCAGCTACAATCATTCTGAAATGTATTCTCAAAGTATTTTTCAACAGAAAATGATCTCAACATTATTCTATCTGCAATTTCATATTTTACATCAATCTACTTTGCAGAAGTTAGAACTGGTGCACACAGTTAATTCTTTATCACTGATTTATTAGATTGTTTCAGCATGTTCAGTTCACTATCTTGAGTAATTTGAGATAAGTCACTTAAGAGTGTTAAAGATATAGAATCAGAATCAGTAATCATAAGTTTCAATAATTTTTGTGATATTTCAAATTTATTGAAGACATTCACAGCTTTATACTCTCTGCCAGTGCACTTGTCAAAGTCTTAAAGTTTCTTCAAGCAAGATTCTCTGATTGACATGCCTAGCAAGTTCACACACACCATCAGTTCACTCATGTCCTAAAGCACCACGAGCATGCAGTAGGAGAAGAGCAGTGGAGAGAGTTATTAGAATCAATCAGATTTGCTCTCAGAAAGAATTATTTCCCACCAGATGTGCTATCTTTTGCTTCCCCTTCAGGTGTCATCTGCATCTTAATGAATGTTTGAGCACTGTCAGGTACTAGATCACCAGACTCACCACATTGAGGCATAACACATGTAGTCAAGAGCCAGAGATTATAGCAGCAACTTTCCAGCCCCCAGGTGGCCTCTCTGAATCTCTTGTGGGTCTTTTAGAGAGATCTGAGCTGCTCATTGTAGGAAAAGCAATCAGAGCAGCTCGCGGGCAGGCCACCTGTGGTTAACACACAATTTATGCCAAACACCAATTTCCATGTGCAAAACAATGCAGACAAGCAAGTTGTCTGGGACAAACAAGATAGCTGCTTAATCCTATAGATTACTGCTGTCAGTGGTGACTACGGAGGGTCGCCGCCATATGTTTTGGTCCCCTTGAATCCTTGGCACACTTTCGGGCGTTCGCAGGCTTGAGTTTAAGGGTGATCTTGCGGGGGTAAGGGGGGTTGGTGGACCGCTAAGCTGCGTCGAAGGCTTGGGAGAGGCCCCTATACTGAAGGACCAAAACATGTGGCGGCGACCTCCGTAGTTGTAAATGGTCTGTTTAATTTCCAGACAAGGCACTTTGCAGTTCTCATACAACATGAAGTGTGCGCTGTATGAAAGTCCAGTCAAAAACAACACAATGCTTATGGAAGCAAAACATCTGAGGGAGCCATCGCGCCACATGCCCATTTAGGGCATAAAAAATACACATTATTATGGTAGACACAAGGACAGTTACAAAGACTGGCAACACTGCTGTCTGGGTGATTATGCTGAATGTGAAGAGGAGAATGGGGAGCACCTGGGTGTCAGGCCATATGTGAGATCACTGGGCAGACAGTTAGTCTTGCAAGGTGGTAGGGTGACAGGGTATGGTCTCTTACAGCAGCATATGGGGAATTATTGTGGATGTCTTCATATAATGTTTCCACAAGTCTCTCATGATTGAAGCAACTGGCGAGGTTGGACAGGGGCAGTTTGTAAAGGGTCGCCCCTAAAAAAGAGCATGTTCGGTGTGAGAGGTTGCAGCACTGGCTGCCAAGTATGAAGTCATGGTAGTCTTGAAAGAAGGCAAAGACATCGTCGGTACTCGCGCTTGGGGAAGGGAAGTCAGGCTTGGGGTGGCGGGTTGGGGACACGGCGGGTGTGAAAAATGCGGACATTGTAACCCTACTACTGGATGTCAGTGTCTGCCAGCACAGCAGCCTGGGAGAGAAGGGTCATTCACCAGCACGCGGAGATTTTTCTTTCGCAGTCGAACGGTTGATGGGAGCGATTGGGTGACGGAGGTCGTGTCAAAGTGAGAAATGGGGACAGGTTCAGGTGATGTTGCGCGATGGTTGGGAGTGGTTGTCGGGGATTTCGACAGCACAAGAGGCACCTGTGATGGGCTGGATGAGTGAGGGGGCTGGAGACAGACAGTGGATGGGGAAGTAGCATACGAAGTGGAAGTAGCTATGGCGGAGGTGCATGTATAGTACATGAGCGACTTCTGCGTTTCCAACATATTTGCATAAGGACTCCTCCGAGGACCTATATAAGTCCATGCCATTTCCTTCAAAGTCAAATACAAGGTGTTGAAGGGCTGGGTCATCATAGTCGCGCCTGAAGTGCCATCCAAAGAAGCGGCGAAAGAAATTCTTGATCTTGCATTGGTTGTGCAGGGCAGGAATGGAGCCCCTGATGCGGCACGGCTTCCCGCGCGGGAAAAGCTAGTACCACCCTCGCTAGGGGCGTCTTGCGGTCCCCATCCAAGCCGGCGGACGAGGCACTCAACTTTCTTCCGCCGGATGCGTTTGTCCAGTATTTCATCCATTATGTCCTCGCGAAGACGTAATATGAGAGAGACCTACGCTTTTCAAAGTTATACCTATCGCCCATGTCAGCCAAGACAGAACAAAATAGTAGAGCCCTAAAAGAAACTCACGTTCGGGCCTTGATATCATCGATCTCTGTGTGTACTTCATCCAGCGTAGTTGCGTCCTTCTCGCTCATCCTGCGAGATAGTAGCATCTCTCAACCCCGCCTGGCTAGCTCATATTGCCCAGCCCAGGACAACTATATAATAATATCCTAGACAGTAATCATATTATTACTTAGTAGGTAAGCCGCTAAATAGGCATGTAAAAAGAGGCCGGATATGGAGTTATATTCAGCGTATAAGCCGTAGGAGTCAAATGAGGATTGACCTGGCCCCTTGTATCAAGTACTGATGAGGTGGCTAGCAAAGAAAATGGAGAGTAGAGAAGACGAGGGGGAAGGAGCATGTATTGATAGGGTATCAGACACTAAGAAACGGCCGCTAGAGCTAGTGAATGGCGCCACCATGAATCCTTCTAGTGAAGGATTGAGCATTGTGAATCTTTTCTGAAAGCAAGTGACTTTGATCAACCCTCGGAAGAGTGATTTCATCTCATAAAAACCCGAATCTCAGTGTTTCCTTGGAGTCACCGGTGGCGCCCAACAGAATCAACGCTGAAGAGGAAAGGCTGTTGCTATTCAAAACCATGTTGGTTTGGCTGGGGGCTCCTAGTGGTAATGATAGCTTGGGAATCCAGTCGTGTCAAAGTAGGTCATATCGAGCGGAAATCCATTGCCTAGAGAGTCACTTTCGCTCAAATCCAAGGAAGCGGACGGCCACATCTCGCTCCCATACCCAACCTTCAGGTATTTTCTCACCAACCCATTCCGAAACTTCAGCTGGGGACGCTTCTCGCCATTCCTCGTTTCCAATCAGATGATCAACGGGAAAGAAAGTGTCGCAGTCAAACCCATTGGTCGAATTTGATGGTTCGTTCTTCTCAACTTCAGTGGCAGGCCGCCGCACATCAGTCACAACGATTCTCATCTTATGGCCAAAAGTAGAAGAATCCAGGCTTAGCGACGAGGCATATATCTCGCCGCCACCAATTACGAGGACACTCCCAAGGCTTCGTTTGCCACCTTGGGAGAACAGGCCAAAGTTGTCCTGGAGCGTAGTCAGGGCAGATTCCACACTGTTGGACACCAGGATATCAGGGTTCTCTTCTTGTTGGCCATCAATCGAATCATCCTTGTCTGCGGACGAGCACTTTTTACACTCCGTTGCAGTCTCACTGTGGCACTCCCGTTCCTTTTGTCGCTCTCTTTCCTTCGCAGCCCTCCATTCAACCACCGCTCTTTCGCATACCATCCCAGACTCATCGCGCGTGATAATAACGTTTAGCCGTTTCGGAAGCGGTCTAAACCGGTTAGGGAGAGAGTCATATGTTTTTCTTCCCATGATAACCGCGTTAATCGCGTTGTGGGGATTGTGCTTTGGGACTGAGCTGCGAGGGGCGGACGGGTCGTGACGCGCGCGAAAAAGCTCATGTCGCACTTGATGCGGGGCCATGGAAGTGTGCCGCCATGGCCAATTCCGAGACGTGAGATGCCCTGGGGTTGGCATGGGAGGGTTATTGGAGTTGTTGCGACGACGAGGGTCAATGGCGGAAGTTTCGTGGCGGAGTTGGCAAAGGCCGCGGCTGTTGCTGGAGGGCAATGGGGAGACATGGGAATGAGGGTTGAGATAGGGAGGAGGAACTTGCCCACGCTCAGCGCCGACTATCTCGAAAACTGGTCAAGTGTGATGAGTGAAGAGAGCTATGGTCTTGGGAAGTCAGCAGTACGGCATCCCATCTGAGGTCGCGGGGTGGGACAACCAAGCCAATCGTTCGCAAAGACTCAAATCGATAGTGGAAAGCAATCGAGCGCAACAATGGATTGGGATTCTTCATTCAAATTTATATTAAGATATATTCCTAATATTACTAGAACTCGAGATTCCTTTCTATTAATATAGCCTTTAGCGCCCGGGTATCCGATTAAAACCTGACAGCCGCCCCGTATTTCCAACGCCTCTGTAGAACCCCAAAGCGAACAACGGACAAGCATTGGATAGATTATCGATCCAATTTCAGCAGCTCTTCGTCCACCGCTTTCTTCACTACCTCCACATCATGGTCCAGTTGCTCCCTCCTCTCTACGTCCCTGTCATCTTCACCCATGGTCTCCAACTTCCCAAAAAGCCATGATTCTTTCATGGTCCTAGTAAGAGCTAAGACATCCTCTGCGGCACGGACCTAGAAATGGCAACTCAGGATGCTGCGAAATAGAAGGGAAGCAAGGCGACACACAAGAGCAGTCGACTCCACATCTAGCTGATATGTCTCTATGGCAGAGGCAGTATGACTTGGGTTGTTCACCTGCATAAAGCTTCCGTCAGCTTTGTCCCTGCATGAGCCGAACCGGTGTTGCCTGGGCTTACCGTCGCGGCAGCCATGATGTTCTCGAATCGCTGGAGAAGCTGTGCAATATCCCCGTTGATGCGGTCTGCAAACACTGGTTAACTAATGATTGAAGAAGCGACAATTCGTTTTGCTGTAGGACAAACTTTGAAGTGCTTTGGAGGTTGGCTGCTGCGGATCCATTGCTATAGCTCATTCCTCGGATCCGCCTGACATTCCGGATTGAAAGGACTCAATGCAAGCAAGCAGTAAGAGAGTGTATTCCATCCAAAGCAAGCCATGGACAAAACCTTGGCAGCGTGCTCTGGATGACCACAAAAGCTTGGCACGCCCCTTGACTGAATCAAAAGCAGACTTCGGCTGGGAATGTCACAGTTGATGCCTAACATAACATACCTTTGATGCTTGCATTCCGGGCATCGCGAGCGTCGTGGGTGCACCAGGACTACCATTCCTGTCCCAAGAGTCCAGGCATGGGGTGTTGCTGCCAGCAACCCACTTGATCTGGGTCCGTTTATTATGATGGACTTTGTCAATGGTGTGAACCTCAGCGACCTTCTCAAGGATCCCAATGCCGAGCGCCCCACTAGACTTATGAGGGAAGATATCAGTGATAGTGATATTGAAATTATCTACAGGCAATTGGCGAATTATTTGCTTCAGCTTTTCAAGCTTGATTTTGACCGGATCGGTAGCCTGCCATGGCCGGGGGTTGAACCCCAAATTACACCGGCACGCCCTCTAACTTTCAAGGCACATAGTATCCTACAAAATGGAGGCGTCAATACCTTTGGTATGACACGTTGCTTTCCCCTTCTCTCTCTAAGTTGGGAAGTACATTCACTAAACAAATGATTTATAGGCGACCGACACCATGGGTATACAACAACAACTGAATATTTTCAATATGTTGTTGGGCAGGACTGGGAGCAGCTTGTTCAGCAGCCAAACTCTACTGCTGGTTTATATGATGCAAAAAACAAATATGTGGCATTTCAGTTTCTAAAAATCCTGATACCAGACTTGGTAAATGCAAAATATGACCATTGCAAGTTCAAGTTGATTTGTGATGATCTTGGCTTGGCAAATCTGATTGTTCGAAGCAAGGAAGACCTCACTGTCATTGGAGTGGTGGATCTTGAGTGGTCATATATTGGCCCTGCTCAGCTGTTTGGCTCAGCACCATGGTGGCTTCTTCAAGACAGACCTGTCAACAGTGCTTGGGATTGTGAGGATGATGAGCCACCCAAGATTGCTGCCCGATACTTAAAGTGCCTAGAGTCTTTTATACAAATTTTAGAGGAGGAAGAGGGAAAAATGCCAGGGCATGAAGAGAGAGAGCTCTCCAGTCTTATAAAGTGGTCACAAGCATCTGGAGCCATGTGGCTGCACATGCTCCTCTTATCTGGCTTTAATGATTATTGCAGCTTTCCTTTTACACAACTGCGCCGACACTTTCACACTGAGTGGGTGAAGTGCGAGGAGGAATCTGACAACACGGAAGCGCTGGAGGCATTTGCGGCGCGGAAGGTGAGCGAGTTGGAAGAGTATGATGAGGCCTTGGAAAAGAGAGAGGAAATTAAAGCACTTGTCGACTGTGGGAAGATGACAAAGGAGGAATTCGTTGCCAGTGCTTTGATATCGAAGCCTAGCTCTCTTGCCTGTTCCTTATTGTTTGTAGCCAACAATGAGACGAGAAATGACAAGGGGTTGTTCCAGAAGGTCGCTGCCTGGCTCAGCTTATGGGCTTCAGAGTTGAGAGATGCCGCCCTTCGCCGCTGTAGTCCCTCCTCCGCTGTTGCATCGCGTGGAAAATGCTCTGAAGAAAATAAGGAAGTAGAATTCCGGGGGAAGCCGCTTTGCAGATCTCAAGAGTATGTTGTGTCTATGAGATTTGTTTGATCAATGCTAATAACGTCTCTTTTGTAGGTCTTGACTACCCATCTTGACTACCCATGGTAATCTGTTCAATGCGTATATCGATACTGTCATGCGGAAAGAATAATGCTCTTGCTTGACCATGCGTTCCAAAGATACCTGGGACTGCTCCTGGTTACTTGGACATCCTGTGGTCTTCCCTGAGATAGTATCTGATAGGATACATCATTCTTGGTGGTGGTCCTGTCTTCCAAGCACAGGCCGTCATCAGTATTATGATCGGCGCATCTGGTGCATGTTAGAACCATAGAGACCAACAAATACGAGTAAACATTACCTTGAGAGTCTCCAGGCTCTGCCTGTGTATGGGGGAATATAGTTTGCACATCGGATTCGAGATCTTCAGAAGAATGCTGTGCAGGTGGTGAGAGTAACAACATGGCCAGGGTGGCGGTTATCTCATCGAGGGTCTCATGCGAAATATAGCCATCATCACTGGCGTCCCTACGGATCGCTTGATTTGATGTTTTTTGCAATAGTAGCTACAATTGGAAGTTACAGGGTTGATGATATTCCAGGACAGTGAGAGAAGGCAACTCGAATAAAATAATGGATCAAGATGCAAAGGAGCAGAAGCCGGCTCTGGTAAACGGCGCGTTCCCCCATGTTGAATCATAATCAAGACACATTTATAGAACTGTCTTGACCCCCCGCTGGCTCATTTTGATTGCCTCTGGTATGTTTGTTCATACCACCTTGCATAGAATAGTCATTGCAAAAAACCAACCACTTGTGGATAGGTTACAATTGCAGGATTTGAATAGAACACTGAATCCAAACCAAGCAACCAAGCGTTTCAACCGAAATCCAAGATAAAGTGGTCATATTGAGGCAGAACGAGGGTAGGCGCTTAGAGAGAGAATCTTTCGATAACTGCAATCGCCCGGGGCATGTCAACGTTCAGGGCTGCAAGTTGCTTTTGATCCTATATTTGAATGAGACAGTTAACAGATCACTAATTTCCAGGTTGATTCGATCTTCAGTGGTAGCACTCTCAGCAAGTTCTCCATGCACGTTATTCCCAAGGCATTACCCCTGACCCGTGTCAGTGTACGGAAACAAGGGGCAGCACAACAGAAAAATGATAACTACTCTAGCTGGCCTCCCAGCTATCCTCAATCTGAGTTCCTTTGTTTCTGATAACTCTCAATGAAATCCATCATTTGTGGATCATCCTCTAACCTCAGTGGTCGATGATATGAGGGCCTCAAGCCACGCAAATGGCGTGGTTTCCGCTCATACTTATTGCGGAAGATATGCAGCGCCATGGACTCATCAGGGCAGATTCGCGGTGCATACTTTTCGGTGCGAATGGGAAGAGGTGATGGGGGCTGATTCTGAGCTTGGTCTGTGGCGGAGAGTGCAAAGTCGACGAAAGAGTCAACTTGGGAATCGGATAGTTTGAAGATTTTATAGGGGAACTTAGGGTGCAAGTAGGCATCGAGGGCCTTGAGGAAGGAATCAGCGGCTTCACTATGAACCTGGGCAAAATCAGGTGGACGAACAAACCTCGCACTCTGAATCCCCCCGATTGAATAAGACCACTCCTCCAAACAAGCAGAGCTCGGCCCAGTAGCCGACCCCGTCAGCAAGACCCGAGGGATACCAATCGTAGTCCATATAGTCCGCATGGAGGAGACGCGTTGGTAGCTCAGAGCTCGGCCGTGCAAGTTGGTCCTTGTTGCTGGTGCTGCTGCTTGGGTTACAGGAGTCGGATCCCTTGTCATGCACTTGGTTGAAGATTGAGACTGCCATACCATGGAATGTGGTAGCAGTGATTTCGAGTAGGCGGAGCTTGAATTCCTTTGAACCAATTGTGGTATTTTGATAGGATTGCGCAAGCTTCATGCATCACATCAGTATCTAGGATTAGCAGATGCAATTGAAAGGGAATATCATGAAGGGTCACCAACCATAGAGTCCACCATCAGTGAATCTGCCTGAAAATGACTCTGGTAACATTTGGCTATTTCTACAGCTTCTGGCAATGCTGTAGCCGGAACTGGATTCAAGATTGGGCAACATTTGGCATAATCATAGGTGTGCTGGCTGACTGGCTTTCCATAAACAATCTGTGTAAACACATGGGTTGTAAGATCCATCACTATAATGCGAGTGATGGCCTGTGTAAACGCATCTAAATGGTCGGGCGAGAGGTTATGAACAGCAATGGGTATTGCACCTGAACTTGAAGCTCTAATAGAAGTTGCAGATGTGCGGGCTGTCCCATTGAATCCCATGAAGATGTTGCAGGCTTGTTGAAAAGCTCTGATATGTGCCTTGGACTTCAAGCCCCCATTGGCCTGCACTTTAGACTGCTTATGCACTGACTTAGACAAGATTTGTTTTGTGTGCTGCATTATCCTTCATCCCCAATCCATATTCAGAAAGGGTTTCTCAAGAATCTCACAAGTGCTCAAGCTAGGTCTTCTCACCAGTTTGAGATAATTGTTGTGATCCAAAACAGCATAAGTCCTGCTGCCTATTTTTAGGTGCTTTCATTAAGACTCACCTTGTTTACAGCTCACAATTTCACTATCCAACATCATACCTGCCTTCAAAATGGACTGGAATCACCTGACAGAAAAAGAGTCACAAAAGCTCTATACTGACTAGTTAACCCCTTCTCCAGAAATCCCCAGCCTTGCCTCTCAAGCTTGCCTCTCAGCATCGTCCTGGTTTTCAAGCAATTAGCGCTTCAAGCTTCACAACTGGCTCATTCAATATGTGCAGTACAGTCACCTTTGAAGATGGTTTCCATGCTCTTGTTATATTTCCCATCCTGGGCTGAAGCCGCTTCCATTGTGAAAAAACCAGTGACAAGCTCTTGGTGATGGCTTTTATTGCTCAGCACACATCTATTTCTGTCCCAACTGTCCTGGGAACAGGAAGCTGGGGCTGCAGTCCTTACATTATTACAACTGTCATTGAGAGCATCCCTCAATATTGGCACTGAGCTTGAACCCAGATGTCCCCAAGTCAGACTTGGAGATCACCTACTCCAGGATGGCTTGAATTGTGCTAGAGCTCTCTAAGCCAGTATTCAAATATATTGGAGGTTTGAAATGGGACTCTGGAAATTGGCGGGTTGCAAAGCAGCCTCTGACTCCCAACATGAACAAGCGTGTACACATCGGAAATTTCCCTCCCAACAAGTTTGTTGATTAGTTACAACCACACCTTTAAAAGCACCTCCCAGTATTTCCAGGAACTGGCAGAGCAACAATTTCTGCACCTAAAATACCAACACAACAATGCCATCACCGATGAGGATGACTGTCGGAGGAGATATGTGGCACGCTGTCGTTTCCAAAAAATAGCACAGCAGGTTATAGTGCAACATGGCCAATACCACCTCTACTACGACGATCTACGCCCGTCGAACATCCTTGTTATGGAGTCTGATTTGACGGTTAACGGTGTCATCGACTGGGAATATACATATGTCGCCCCCGCTGAATTTACGTACAGCGCTCCATGGTGGCTCCTATTTGAAAGCCCAGAGGCTTGGGACTTGAACAATTTTATGGACCGATACCGCCCACACCTCCAACTATTCCTTGGGGTGCTCCACGTCCATGAAAATGAACAGATTTGCCAAGGCAGTCTAAAGGAATCACAGCATCTATCAGACAGGATGGCGCTCTCTATCGAAAATGGGCTCTTTTGGTTTTGTCTTGCAGCCATGAAAAGCTTCATGTTCAATGAGATATATTGGACATTCCTCGACAAACGGTAATTTGGGCCTTTGAGCTCTTTTGGCGATCGGGTTTCCCTATTGACACCAGACGAGCGGGGCCAGATGGAGGATTTTGTTCAGGCAAAAATGCAGCAGATAGAGGAAAGGACTCAAAGGAGGCTGGATGAACACCAAACATTTGATGAAGTTCTTTACTTATAGCCTAGGAAATTGACAAGGAGTAGACTGGCTGTCAACATTGCCACTACAAAGCAGCTGCACGGAGGGAGCGACGACAAAAAACATACAACAGCCGGGATTCGCTGGTGGTCACCCACCCAACTACTAGCCGGCCGGCAAGTGGCTTGAGTACGGCTGAGCGGACGGGAAGCCCTATTTTCCACTTCCTGTGGTCGTATGTGCTTGATCATAGCTTGCATTGATTATTATAGCCATCCAATTTGGCACAGATCGAACAAAAAGGGAGGAGAACCAAAAAAACATACAACAGCTGGGATTCGCTGGTGGTCACCCACCCAACTACTAGCCAGCCGGCAAGTGGTTTAAAGTACGGCTGAGCGGACGGGAAGCCCTGTTTTCCACTTCCTATGGTCGTATGTGCTAGAAGCTTTCTTGCATTGGTAGTTGAATCCATTCTCTAGAGAGGAGAACCAAAAATATCTTCCAGCATAATTCTCATTTCCCCGGCAGAAGAGCTATCAGAGCAGCTGACCGTCAGCTTAATCTTCTAATCTCCATTCCGGCAGAAACCTATCTCTTATTTCCTGTGTTATGGAAGCTGCTGTGTGAGCGAACTCAGTTTCGAGCCATGCTTGATAATCCCAGTCAATCCAGTCCCCAAAATTTTTGTCCATAGACCACACCTTATGCCAGCGCAAAAGAGGGGATATGAACGTCCCGGGCAGAAAGTTTGGTTCTAACGTGGGATACCCCCAGACACGAGACAAGCGACAATGTTCAAAATCTATATGTACGACTCTGTCGACCTTCTGTGGGCGTTCACCCGGCACCACAATCACATTCCTTGGGCGAAGGTCTGCCAAAACTATATCATGTGTATAGATGGTGGATTCCCCCTCAATGAGAAGTTTCATGATACGCTTCCGTTCGGCGGATGAGAAGTTTTACGGTTTGAGATACATCATAGAAAGGCCTTGGACATGCTCCATCAAGATGAGGCGAACGCTGCGAGTTGATCCGTCAATAGGGAGGTCAAGTGCATACGATCCGTAGAGAATGGGAATCACTGTGCCTTGGAGGCTGGCAAGTCGCTTGTACACGGCTACCTTGGTTGCATAGCCACGCTCAACATACACAAAGGGGTCATGGTCGTCGTCAAAGTGGTCGATATACAGAGGGTCGTAGATCTTGGCCACTGCGTTGGTGACGTTTTGCAGGGCTTTCGGGCTTTTGGAGGAGGTTGCTAGAATGTTGACGGCGACAATCTGGGAGAAATGATCCTTGCCATGTCGGATCCCATGCGAGATCTCAAACTCAACGGTAGATTCCCCAAACGACCCGCCATTCGGTGGATGTAAGAGACACCGCTGAAGGGGAGAGAGCCTTTCTCGTTCCTTGTTAGCCTCCGGGCTCAAGTCATACTCCCCCCTTTTCGGTGGGAGGAGAGACAGCGGACTGTGCGCGCGGACGGTAAAGCGTTGGCCGGGTACATAGGGGAGAGGAGGTTTTTCGAGATAAGCGAGCTGGCCGGCCATGGTGTCGGCAGAAGCGATGGCTCGAGATAACTAACTTAGCGCCGTCCCCCGCAAGAATGGTGTGGGTATTGAAGCTTGTTCCTTTTTGCCTATTTTCAGTTTATCATACGGAGTACGGAGTACAACGATATTAGTTTAGGGGGCCTGCTCCCGCTTCTCCTGCAGCACCAGTTCACCAGCCGTGATTGGACAACATGATGCATTCGTCCTGTATCAATGCACAGGAAGGGGTGACATTGATTCATTGATTGACTGTTGGTTTCTCACCAGCGATTTACCAGCCCCAGCTGAACTTAAGAGATCTCGACTTCATCTACCACAATGACCGATGGGAGCCTACGCAGGTTCAAGTACGTGATGTTACACATTACCAACACTGCCGTACGTCTAGAGATCTTAGACTTCCGTCCCTATGTGGACGGATGATTTACCTCTATCAGGATTACCGCCCAACGAGCAAATCCCCAGCCATGGAGGTTTCCGCAGGGTATAGGCAGCTTCAAAAGGAGCCTTCTAAAGGAGAGGATCCTACAACTTGGACCACAGACGGAGACTAATCAAGAAGGAGATTCTATTGCAAAATCCAGAAGTTACTGAGAAGCAGGTATTAAGGGATTTCCTAGGAACCATTGAGCTTTTTGACCAAAATTGGGCATCGTGGTGGGTCAACACGATGGAATACGAGGAAAGGCCTCAGTCACGTCCTCATTGTGTAGGTTCGTTTTCAAGAACATATCGGCCCCGAAAGAACAGTCACAATTTACCTTGAGCCTGGAGCGACGATTTTGATTCGGATCGACTTTCTAAAAAGGTAAAACTGGAAGCATCCGCTTTTCACGCTTAACCACGTACTATCCCTACAGGAGCCTTGTGTAAACTATTGGGCGACGAATAGCGCTGGGTGATTGGCCGTAATTTCGAACGCGCTGCCTCCAACCAGATCAAGACCACAGTATATTAGCATGGAGATCTAGGTTAAATTGAAAACATCTTCGGGTCTTGTTGCACGCAGTAACCGAAATTGGGACACCATGCCCAAAAGCTTGTGCCTGAGCTTGATTGAAAGCTAGGGCGTCAGGTGTGATATTCATGCCCTGTTGCACTTGAGAGTGTGCAACCGCCTTTGATCTGTTCCATAGATACATCCTCCGCAGGAAGATCGTAGCTGAAGGAATCATATATCAAGGGTAATCACGGTATGGGTTATCGAACATATTTAGACTAGTGTCACTGAAGTCAGCGGCCAAGTAACTCAGCGCTAATTGAGATATAAAACTGACCATAAAGCGTTTATGAAAATCGGATCGTAACAAATCCTGGAGGATCACATTAGCTCTTGTGGCCTTGGAGATAAAGCAGAATTACGCATACGTTAACGAACTCCTTTTGCCCTTTGGTTTCTGTACCTCGAGCCTGATTCTTGAAGACAACGTCATCGTCCCAGCGTCGCCTTACGTTGAAATCCTGCGGATTGAGTAACGGGTTGCCTCTCGCGATGTCGTACTCGCGTTGCTCCTGTTCGATAGCTGCCTTTTCCGCTTCCTGCTTATTTGTTAAATATTGTATTCTGAAGGCAGCTAGCTTTATGGCGGACGAACCTCTTTTTCTTTCTGCTCAGCCCGTTCCCTCTTGATCTTCTCCAACTCTCTCATCAGCACTGCAGTTTCGTCTTCCTCATCATCGCTATAAGCCCGTTAACACCGACTCATGAACCTTCAAATATTGACGCACCTATCCTCTTCACTGCTTTCACTCTCATCTCCATCTGAGTCGGCATCAATATCCCTAGTCTCCTCCAGTATTCTCCTCCGTTTTGCCTCCAAGTCTTCCGTTCCGGTAGAGTCTGCGTCACCGACGCTATGCTCGAGCTGTCGTTTCGGTGTTGCTGGTTCGATCGATGTATCCGCGATACCAGCTTTTTTTGCAAAATGGGCGGCTTCCGCCTTCAGTAATTCGGCTCGGAGGTCTCGCGTCTCGGTGTCGGCATCGCCGCCCTGGCCCGGTTTCCTAAACTCAAGTGTCAAAAGACAAGCTTGGCCTCCTGGAGGGTAAGCGCCATAGCTTACCGGACTTTTAAATGAGTGTGGGCCGGTAGGAGTCGCTGGTGATACGCGGGCCCTCGTAGTGCCTCCTTTCCCCTAGCCTGGTATAGATGTAAGTGCATTGAAACGGGAAGAACATCATTCCTTGTTCGGCATACCGGGTCAAATGTTGGACGATGCGCTGTGAAGTTGTCAGTGAGACCCAAGCTGGACCTATAATAGCAATGGAGGAAACATACCTGTAGTCATCTCTGAACGTAGTGATTAGAAACCCGACAAAATATCTGATTGAAACAAGGTCAAGCTCCGTCATGCTCAGTGAACATGCATCACGATTCACACTCGGCTCGGCATAACCTTTAACCAGTTAAATTACTAATCCAATCGGAATAACCTATTGTTCCGCCTTGGTGATAGTCAGGTACCGCTTAATAGTGTTTCAGTAATATCATGCACAAGTCTCTCCTCCAACTTGGTTTCCCAAGGAACCTTCAGATGTGGAAGTCTTCACAAGATGCGGTTCAGTATGCTAGAATAAAAACCCAATGTTCTTGAACATTCGGCGGGAAAATGACACACTCAAAAATCATGTGGGCCTAAAATATCTTCAGCCAAGAGTGTCTTTTTGTCTATGTTTCTCCTTCATCGGCTATAGATGTACACAACTGCCTCTTTCTCTCAAAGCTACCACCAGCAGGTCTGTGTTTGCGATTCGCTCGGTCATAGTATAACTTAGCGGTTGCAATACCCTCCTATGTTTCGCCTTTGCACTGACTACGTCCCTGATAGCCCTGCTCCCTTGCGCCGGCTCAACCAGATATAGGTTTCCTCAAGTAGGCGGTGTGTAGCCCTGCAAGTCCGTCCGCTATCAAGGCGATGCAATGACTCGCCATATTGACTCTAGACCAATTCTCTGGGAAGCAATTCATCAATACTGGAGATAATCGGCCACTGGGTTGTACTGTCCCGAAAATAACCCGCAGCAATGTCCAGCCCCCAAGCTGCGTCGGAAACTTTGTTGAGTCAATGGATATGAAAATGGAATACAGTTCATTCTCCATGGAATAAGATGCTGGCACTCCTCCGGTCGACTTTGCAATGCAGATGATATTGGGAACACGGATGCCAGGCTCTCATCAGGATTCTTGGGATCATGATCGGTTTATTAATGATTGAATAGATACGTAAAGGAGAAGAGGTTCGAAGGTTGAAGAAGCTTCATAACTTAAGCCAAATAGGTCTTGAAAACAAAAATTTTGAAGATGAAAGGAAGAAAGCATGTCGCGAGGGAATAGGGGGTTGAGCAAGACACGCCAGTCTCAAGGTGGCACTGGTTCGTGGAGAGTGTGGTTGAGCTTTTATATCTTATAACCACATGTGGACGGAGACGCCTTGCTGACGCCTGGAAGGGGAAGCGCCATATTTTAGACGGCGACGGTCTGGCTGTTGGAGAGGTAAGAGTATTAGGAACCGTAGTAATGCAAGCATCAGGTGGTAATTCGTTCTTGGTCAGAAATCTTCTTCATCTCCTTCCATTTCTCCTTCGTTTTAATAGATGCTCTTTTGAACTCGAACCTGCTGAGGGACCTCCGCATTTTGGTTGATAATTCCTGGAATGGTAATGGGAAACATAGTCCATCCAGCCCCGGCACAAGGTCATTTGCCATGACGTGTCCTAGCTCCTTTTCCAACATTAAACATTCTGGCTTCAGTCTATCCAGGGAGAAATCGCATTTCCACACTTTCTGTGGCTTCTGGTTATAGAAGCAGAGGTAAAAAAATGCTTCAAACCTCCCAATCAGCGCAACATTGTTATCTTTTTGCCATTGTAGGATATGTTCGGCGAGATCGGGCACATCAAGCTGGCCAAGTTCATCCTTTGAGAGGCCCCAGTCAGTTGTCTCAGTGCAGTTTCCTGACTTTTCAATGATATCCACCACAATCACTAGCTTAGTACATCCTTCAGAGCCCTGGAGCCATTGTTTCACGTCATCAAACACCTTTGTGGTTCTTTTGGAGACTGCCACTTCCACAGCAATTAGTGGGAACTGTTGTGCTCCTTGACAAAGGCCCTCATCGGGAGCTTTCTCGCTACCATCGAATTCACCACCAAGGTAAGAACCTAGTGATATATGTCAGATTGGCAAATCTCTCCGCACCAGCATGACATCTTGGTAGCACCCAAAAACCAATGAAAATTGAAGAGTTTGGTTCACCTGTGGTCCCAATACAGTCAAATTCATTACCAGTTGCTCTGCTGAGACTGTCTCTAATACCGTGCAGCCATTCCCTGATGACTCCTGTTGCGGCTCCGTGTAATGGGTTATTGGTAGCTTTAATTCGAATACATGAGTTCTGTGCATTGTACTCGACCCCACGGATGCCCTGGTGTTTCTCGCTCCATGCTACCCAATCACAGAACTCAACTGGGAACTTCTGAATTGAAAACCTGTCAACTGAAGTTGCTCTCAGCTCCAAAATTTTTTCCGAGTCTAGGTCATAAATCGAGTTGATGTTTTCAAGGATTTTGTCGATTTTAACCCTTGCATCGCACTTCATGTGTCTGGAACCGGTTGAGCTTCACTTGCTGGCTGACAAGGGGGCGCTGGACGAGACCCTTGGTTTTTATGTCTTCGTGTCTCTTTGTTTTCTCTTTTCTCATTCTCGCCATTCTGGATCATTTTGGCTTGTTTCCAGAAAACCCTAAGAAAGAACCAAACAATAGCTGGTCTTGTTGCATAACAAAACAAAAAAGACATTAATGAAAACTCTACTTCATTCATTTGACATAAAAAAGAGTAAGAAATGAATGAAAATAAAATTTTAAGAAAGAGAAAGAGAAACATAAATGGCCCTTGGCTGGAAATGTTAGGGGAGATGCCTAACATCTCCAGTGCATCCATATATCATTATCATCTCACATGGCATAGAATAGATTTCTTGCATTGTCAATTGCGAAGCCTTCATTGAAATGGAGAACAGAACTCTCGCGTCATCAAGCCGCCACCTAAGTTCATTGTTTAGGTATTGAAGTAGCAAGCGAACAAGAGGGAAGCCTGCATGAGGCAAGGACTCAGATCTCTGAATAAACTGGTTATTCTCTGTCTTGTCCCCCGTCGATGTTCTGCGACGCGCCTAGCACCGGGTCGAGTGCATGGCAGGAGACTTGGTGGCATGGATGATAGTGCTCAGATCAACAATATCCTCCAGGTCGAGGATTCACAAGAGCTATAGCTCTCCTGGTGTGGCACAACAGCAGACGTTGATGTTCCACCTTCAAGTAATTTGCAAATTCTCTTTGTTTTAAAATTGGAACATACTCATAAAGATAGCCCAAAAAGCAGCCTATGTGGTGGTAGAAAGAGCAGTGCACATCTGAAGTGTCCAGCCATCTTCTGATGAAGGAATCTAAAAGCTGATGTACTGGTGGGATAAAGGGCAATCTGGCAGTTCTCTGAAGCTGCCAGCTTTCCTGTGTGGCAATGTCTGGAAGCTTGATATCCCAATCAGAGGCTGCAGTAAGAGCAACAACAGAATCAAGGTGACTCTTATATTGTGGTTCAACAAGATAGCAAGTGGCCTCCTCGATATTGATGTACCGCGCTTTAAAGTCAGGAGGTGGAGGGTGCCAGCCTCTTTCAATAAGTGCGTCTGCGGCTTCCTTGACATCATCCACAACAATGTGTATGTCGAAGGCACCAGTGGGCACTCCATAGTATGCTAAAGCATCTTCAGCCCAGAGGTAGCATGATATGCTGCTTTCCTTGAGTAGGCGGCATGCTGAATATCGCTCAATAAACCACAGGTCATCACAGGTTTGTGTTGCATATCGTTCACGGAGCCAGTCCTCAATGGGTGCGACTTCATTAAGGGTGGGCGACATCGGTGAGATTCGACGGGCGTGCCACGGCGGTAAGACGGTGGAGGGAGGTGCCAATGGAGGATTGGGACCGGGTGAGTACGGGGGTATGCCAGGCGGACTCAGGTGAGGCGACGTGACGAGACGGAGCAAAAAGGATGATCGAAGCAACAGAAGCAGCGAGGTGAAAGATGAATTATACGCTTTGGGCCAACTTAGCCAGTTGATTCGGTACACTCTTGTATGCAACATGTAGTTAACTAAAGCGGCGTTGTGTTGTTGGTCAAATGCGTGACAAAAGGGCTTAAAACAGCGTCAAAAAAAGACTGCTTCTGAGTGGCCGCACCTAACATACAGACTATCCATGGCTGGGAGCTGATGTGAGCTACTATTTTATGACAATTGGGAGGCAGGCTATAATTGAAGAATGGCAAAGGATACGGAGCTTTCAGCAAATGAGAGGGCTTTTATTCTCGAGGCTTTACAGAAGAATGTGCGTCTCGATGGTCGGCCCCTGGACCAATTCCGTTCCCTCAACCTGACCTTTGGCGATGAATATGGGTACGTCAAAGCCCAATTGGGCAGGACAACGTGAGTATTTCCGGCACTACTATAATGCTACCTAGGCTTGCACTCGGTTGCTGACATCCATGGATCTCTAGTGTCATAGTTCGCATATCCGCCGAAGTGACTGCGCCTCGTCCTGAGCGAGAAAGCGATGGTATTTTTACAGTGTCTATTGAGCTGAATGATATGGCTATCCCAGGCTTTGAAACCGGACGGTAGATTTCACGACCCTCGTCCCTGAAAGGCTATTTTGAAATCGCGTTCCCCCGGGTCCTAACGATAGTATTCTATCCTTTAGACAGTCCGACTCGGAGACTCAGCTTTCCCGTACACTAGACAAAATCGTGCGTCGGTCGAATGCTCTTGACACAGAATCCTTATGTATAGCGAAAGGTCTAAGCTGCTGGAATGTGCGCGCTGATGTGCACATTGTTGACGCTGATGGCGGGTTGGTGGACATTTGCTGCCTTGCCATAATGGCGGCCCTGCTTCACTTTCGCCTCCCAGAATCGACCGTTCGTGACGGGAAGGTGACCGTTTACTCCGCGGAGGAGAAGGTACCGGTCCCTCTTAATCTCACCAAAGTGCCCTTGTCCGTGACTTTCAATTTGTATGATGAAGGTAAAACCACGCTTCTAGACGCAACTTCAAGCGAGGAAGCTGTTAGCGAGGGCTCGCTCATTATAGCCCTTGACAAAACCGGCGAAATAGCTCTGTATTCCAAAGCGGACGGAACACCGGCGGATCCTTTGAATATGGTTGCCTGCTCCGCTACCGCCCTAGCAAAAGTGAGGGAATTGAACGCACTGATTCAGCGGAAGCTTGAGGAAGATTCAAAGGCAAGAGGACAAAAGGGGCTGCGCGCGGAATCGAGTGCCGCCAACGAACGATGACCTGTTGGCTTCTCCGTACAATAAATCATTCCCACAAAGTCCAAGACATTACATGAGCGCAGATCGATCGCGAGACGTGTGACCCGCTCATGCCTATCCCCTGGAAACACCAACAGAACTGAGAATACGGAGTACAGAATATTCAATACAAGAATGAGCGGAAGATTCAAATGGGGAACCCTGCTGATAGCTCCTTTCTCGGCCCCATTGTCTGTAGAGGGTCGGACCGTCCATGCCATGCCACATGCGTACCAGGCGCCCCAGTCGTGGTGGCATATTCGGATCTGCAGGTTCGATGGGAGTTGAAAGTGGTGCTCTGTGGCTGAGCAGCGGTGGAGTACGTGTCCGCGTCTGGCGGATATCCTGCTGAACGTGAAAGTACAGGCCTCAGTACGGAGTAGACAAAGCCTCAAGCTCATTAGTTATGTAGAATCTGTACTATAGTTTTTCAACGGGGGGCAATCGGCACAATCCCCAAAGTTGCAATTCGATCCACTGAGAAACAGTCTCTCTCTCTCCCAAAGCGTTTCTAGAGGTTGCAGAGGCTGCGAATATTTTGCAAAGTCGGGCCTGAGAGAGTTGGGGCTGGAGCCAGTCACCGTTGTTGGATTCAGCCAGTGTTTCAAGGGTTGCGGGTGTCAACCGTCCCAAGGCTTCAAGCTGCGGCCGCACCTGCGTGTGCTCTCAGCCAGGACACCACTCTCCACGCCAACAACTCGACTTCATTCCAGTGCTAGAAACATCTTCAACGACATTCACAGTCTTGCCATTCGAACAATCGCTGGCCGCTATTCACTCCGTCTGGAACCCAACTCAAGGACCAGTGCCGAGACGACCGCTGACTGAGCCTAATTTTACGCATCACGACGAGATCCTCTTTGCTCCGTCCCCTTTGTCCCTTGCCTTCCATGCTGCGACACACTCTTCAGGCAGCGCTATTGCGGTAATCCTGTCGCAACAAAAGGCGATATGAGCAGCGGAAGGCCGCCCGGAGGCCACGCATCCGCCAGCCCCAACCACGACCTTCTCCAGCTGGAGGACACTACACCGGTATATAGTACTGGACAACGCCCTCCCGTGAACGATGACCACCTCTTAGAACGATACGACATTGATGATTCCGACCTCCCCTCCCCACGCGCGTCAGTCTCCTACGATGAGTTTGTTGGCGGGAGACCTCCGCCCACTGGGGTGGGAACGACGTCTCATAACCCCCAGCGGGATGGCTTACAGCCGCCTTCAAGTCGCTTTTATGGAGAAGCCCCGGTAACCCGCACGTATTCGCAAACGTCAGATTTGCAGAACTACCATCGATACTCCGATATAGACGATTTTGACGATGAACGGTCGATGAGAGGGTACTATCCCGAAGCCGATCTGGAAGGTGACCACACTCCGATTCGAGATGCCCGGTCAAGGGATCGCAATAGCATTCTTAGCTTGGGAGGAGGGCTTGTGGGAAAAGCGAAAAGCATGCTTGGAATGGCCCCAAAATACTCTGAAATGGACCTACCTTTGACTGAGGCCGGCGCAAGAGCTAGAGCGGATACCATGGACACAGAAGCTGGGGCAAAATCCAAGCCTAAGAGACGCCGTAGCGGTGGTTTCAATTTCAGTTTTGGACGAAGAAAGCCGGATCCCTCTACACTTGGGCCTCGTATAATCCATCTCAATAATATCCCTGCGAACCAAGCGAACAAATATGTGGACAATCACATCTCGACCGCAAAATACAATGTTTTCACATTCCTCCCCAAGTTCCTCTTTGAGCAATTTTCGAAATACGCCAACCTTTTCTTCTTATTTACCGCTGCCCTGCAACAAATTCCCAACATCTCGCCGACAAATCGCTACACTACAATTGGTCCCCTCGTCATTGTCCTTCTTGTCTCAGCTATCAAAGAATTGGTGGAGGATTTCAAACGGAAGAACTCGGACAAATCCCTGAATTACTCTAAAGCGAGGGTCCTTCGCGGGTCTGGGTTTGAAGAGACCAGGTGGATTGATGTTGCTGTTGGTGACACTGTAAGAGTTGAATCCGAGGAACCTTTTCCTGCGGATCTCGTACTTATGGCAAGTTCGGAGCCGGAAGGCCTCTGCTATATCGAGACGGCCAATTTAGATGGAGAGACAAACTTGAAGATTAAGCAAGCAATACCTGAAACCGCGCACCTTGTCAGCTCAGATCAACTTGGTCGACTGGCAGGTCGATTGAAATCTGAACAACCAAACAGCAGTCTCTATACCTATGAAGCTACGTTAACCATGCATTCCGGTGGTGGGGAGAAAGAACTTCCGCTCGCTCCTGATCAACTGCTCCTCCGTGGAGCGACTCTTCGCAATACTCCTTGGATCCATGGTGTTGTGGTATTCACTGGCCATGAAACCAAACTCATGCGAAATGCAACCGCAACGCCAATCAAGAGAACAGCTGTAGAGCGCATGGTCAATTTGCAGATTCTAATGCTCGTTGGCATCCTCATTGCTCTCAGCCTAATTAGTTCTATTGGAGATTTGATTATTCGGATCACAGCATCAAAAAAACTCACCTACCTAGATTACGGAAACGTCAATGCCGCCGCCCAATTTTTCTCTGATATTTTCACATACTGGGTTCTCTACTCAAATTTGGTTCCTATCTCTCTCTTCGTCACTATAGAAATCGTCAAATACTGCCATGCCTTCTTGATTAATTCCGATCTCGATATTTATTACGACAAAACGGACACCCCTGCCACCTGTCGCACATCTTCCCTTGTTGAAGAATTGGGCCAAATAGAATACATTTTTTCGGACAAAACCGGTACCTTAACGTGCAACATGATGGAATTCAAGCAGTGTTCTATTGGCGGCATACAATACGCAGAGGTTGTTCCTGAAGACCGAAGAGCGACCGACGACGATGATGCCGATACGGCGATATATGATTTCAAAAAATTGAGGGAAAATTTGGAATCGCACCCTACCCACGATGCCATCAAGCAATTCTTGACGCTGCTTTCTACTTGTCACACGGTTATACCCGAGCGCAAAGATGAGAAACCAGGCGAAATCAAGTACCAAGCAGCCTCCCCCGATGAAGGTGCCCTGGTAGAGGGAGCAGTACTTCTAGGTTATCAGTTTACGAACAGAAAACCAAGATCCGTGATAATCTCCGCAGCCGGTGAAGAAGAGGAATATGAATTACTGGCAGTGTGCGAGTTTAACTCAACGAGAAAGCGCATGTCGACTATTTTTCGGTGTCCCGATGGAAAGATCAGGTTATATTGCAAAGGCGCGGACACGGTTATTCTTGAGCGCCTTCATGCAAACAATCCGATCGTGGATGTCACACTTCAGCATTTGGAAGAATATGCATCCGAAGGACTACGAACGCTATGCCTTGCTATGAGAGAGGTTCCTGAGGAAGAGTTCCAACAGTGGTGGCAGATATTCGATAAGGCTGCGACCACAGTCAGTGGAAACCGAGCCGAAGAACTTGATAAAGCAGCTGAACTTATTGAAAAGGATCTCACTCTTCTTGGTGCAACCGCCATTGAAGACAGGCTTCAAGACGGTGTCCCAGACACAATCCACACACTCCAGCAAGCGGGAATCAAAATCTGGGTACTGACTGGAGATCGTCAGGAAACCGCCATCAACATTGGCATGAGTTGCAAGCTTATTTCAGAAGACATGACTCTATTGATTATTAACGAGGAGAATGCCGAGGCGACAAGGGAAAGCTTATCAAAGAAATTGCAGGCAGTACAAAGCCAAACCGGCTCGGACATCGAAACGCTCGCCCTTGTCATTGATGGCAAATCTTTAACATTTGCTTTAGAAAGGGAGATGGAAAAGCTCTTTTTGGATCTTGCCATCCAATGCAAGGCCGTTATTTGCTGGTATGTGATTTTGCCAATAATCTATAGGCTTCTTTACACTAGCCCACTTTATATACTGATATCTTCATAGTCGAGTGTCGCCCCTGCAAAAAGCCTTAGTTGTTAAGCTTGTTAAGCGACATCTGAAGGCACTCTTGCTCGCTATAGGCGACGGCGCGAACGATGTCTCCATGATTCAAGCCGCCCATGTTGGCGTCGGTATAAGCGGTGTTGAGGGTCTTCAAGCAGCGCGAAGCGCTGACGTTTCAATCGCCCAGTTCCGCTTCCTTCGGAAACTGCTTTTGGTGCATGGGGCGTGGAGTTATCAGCGGATTAGCAAAGTGATTCTGTATTCATTCTACAAAAACATCGCTTTATATATGACTCAGTTTTGGGTGAGTTTGGGAATCTTTTGGTCGTCGGTTTCATACTAATATTTTCACTATAGTACGCTTTTCAAAACTCCTTCTCCGGCCAAGTCATATACGAATCATGGACGCTGTCCTTTTATAACGTATTTTTCACCGTCCTACCGCCTTTTGCGATGGGCATCTTCGATCAATTCATTTCTGCGAGGTTGCTCGACCGATATCCACAGCTCTACCAACTCGGGCAAAAGGGTGTTTTCTTCAAGATGCATAGCTTTTTCTCTTGGGTTGGAAACGGCTTTTACCATTCTCTTATCGCCTATTTCCTTTCGCAGGCGATATTCCTCTACGATCTGCCTACTCAGGATGGTACCGTTTCAGGGCACTGGGTGTGGGGTACGGCATTATACACCGCCGTCTTAGCCACTGTTCTCGGCAAAGCTGCGCTTGTCACTAATATCTGGACTAAATATACGGTACTCGCCATTCCCGGGTCGTTTCTCATCTGGATGGCGTTCATACCCGCCTACTCCTATGCGGCACCCAATATCGGCTCTGGTTTCTCCACAGAGTACCAGGGAATTATTCCCCACCTCTTTCCTCTGCCTGTATTCTGGCTAATGGCTATTGTCCTTCCGGCCATCTGTCTTCTCCGTGACTTCGCCTGGAAATACGCCAAAAGAATGTATTATCCGCAGAGTTACCACCACGTACAGGAGATTCAGAAATATAACGTCCAGGATTACCGGCCGCGCATGGAGCAGTTCCAAAAAGCGATCCGCAAAGTCAGACAAGTGCAGCGAATGCGGAAGCAGCGCGGGTACGCTTTCAGCCAGGCTGATGAGGGTGGCCAGATGCGAGTTGTGAATGCGTATGATACCACGAGAGGTAGAGGAAGATATGGTGAAATGGCAAGTTCGCGAGAGCCAATGGTCTAGACTCGATGCTTTCCTCCCTGACCTTTTAATCGAGGAGAATCCAGGGATTTTGTGTCTTATGATTTGTATCCAGCGTCTTTGATCTATCAGTTGCTTCTACCCTTTCCGCCTGAGCATTTGGTTCCCATCTTTGTACCTATACCTTTTCCTATCTTGGGTTGTTGAGCTTTTCCGTCCTTTTTCCTGGAGCGGGGGCACAGTCTCTAGGGGCTAGTGGGATTCGTCTTTTTTTATTATGATTTGCCCTTATGACCCTACCCTAGGTAAATGCTCTCATGTCTTGTCTATATGATTTAGTATCATTTCCGTCCGAATTATGTAAGATATTTGAGCTCATTGTTCTTATCTGGCTTTTCCAGGATGTTAGTCTGTTGGAGTAATTTATACAACTCTTTATTGAGAGCACTTATGTGTATGTATGCACCCATGATTCTAGTGTCGAACAAATTTGTATGTATATCATCTGCTGTTGCATTTCATTCATAAATCATTACAATCATAAGCACATATACAAATCTACCAAAAGCACCACCAGTTGTCGTGTGCACGCATACCAGTCTTCCTCTGGAAAACATCAGTCATCGAGTGCATCGCTCTTCCGGCGGCCTCCATCCCACACCCAAGCCCTCCATGACCAGGCGCTCCCTCTCCTGCCACGTTTCTCCCTTACTCTCCAAGTCGATCACCCGTCCTCCACTCCCCTCCCGTGCGCGAATGCCACTGGAATCGAATTTCCAGTTATGCATTTTCTTAGCGTATCGGCGGAGATCCCGTTCAAAGGTTGTCTCGCCGGACCAGCCGAGCACGGCACAGCCAATGCTTCGCCAGGGAGAGACGATGATATCAACGCGACGGTGTAGATTGGGGTTTCTTTTCGTAGAGACTGGAAGGTTGGGTGTATTTCCGCTAGCTTGAGTGTCTTGGCCGGTAGGCGTGTTTGTGTCGTTTTCTAGGTTTGAAGGAGTGGGTTGCGCGGAGGTCCCGGACTCCCCCGTTTCTCCTTCTACTTCTTCAAGTACGGATTCGGTGGATGGGCATGAGCCTTCAAAGTGCGGATCCTGCCATACGACCAAAGCTTTGTCAAGGGTGTCGAAATGGTGTTTCCCTCTTGCAGTTTCACCACGATAAGGCAACGGTTGCTGATCGCGTAGAGAGTTCGTTAGATGCAAGGCGAGTGTGTGGGTGATCCAACCTTCTTGCTCGAGACTGGCTACCACATCGTAGACAAGATTATGTGTGACCGCTTCGTCTCGATGACTGAGAATCATGTCAACATCTCCACTTCGTTCTTTACCTCTGCGGTATCCGCCAACAATAATGCATTCGATTCCTTTGCCATCGTAATCGGAGCCAGGCCTGACTCGACGAGCGTGCTCGAGGACAACTTTTGCAATATATTCAACTTCGGTCCGTGGAATGCCCTCCATAAATTCGTCATAATATTTAACCCCGATCTGCTGGACTCGAGACAGACTGTCCCAGCCTTGTTCAACCACATCGTCAAGGTCACGCCACTGTCTATGGTAGTAAAAATCGCGCGCTGACTTGGCCCCAATTCCCCAAATGTTGTAAAAGAGGTTCAAAGTGGAATAAACAGGGTCCGTATCGAGCTGATTCGCTGCTTCCAGTGACCCGTCGGGACTTTGCTTCCACTCTGCAAACCAGTTTGCGATCCTCGTTTCACATCCAGGGATAGTCAGAACCTCTTCTGGAGTCTGAAGTGGATAAGGATACGCAGCAATGGCGGCTATAGACGTACTGTACGCCCGTACTCCAATATCATCCAGGGTGAGTTCTCGTATTCTTTTGACCTTTAGGAGTTGGTTAATGAACTCTTCGTTGGGTGGGTGGAGCGGAGCAGAGCGAAGACAGGCGTATATCACATTATCTCGAACCCAGTCTGGGGCGGGCGGAAGAGGAGCAGCTTGCTCATGTTCCGAAGTTGTCTGTCGATACAGTTTTGGCCGTACTTTCTTAGAGCTTGGGCTACCATCTTGACTGATCCTGGGTCGACGGGATCTCTCGGCGGCTGGGACAAATCGTGATCGAGGCGCTGTGGCTGCATCCGCCTTTGCCCGTTCAAGGATCCCTTGTGGTTCTCCATCTCTTTGACGAGAGGGAGATTGGGGCGTTGAAACTACAGAGTCATGTTCGGAGCCCAGGACAGAAACTGATTTCGTTTCCTTGGGTGTTTCAGGTCGGGAAATCTTATTCGCGTGATAGACAGTAAACGATGTGAGCGGGAGACAGGACCTAGCGGCCAACGATTCACGCAGCCATTCTAATTTTACCACCCGTATATCGCTGTTGCGAGGTGGAGACAAAGAGAGAATAGAGCGCGGGACCGGAGCAGTCTCTGATGGTTTTAAAATCCTTTTTTGGCCGTTGTTACTCCCGTCAAATCCATCCTCTTCGTCAAGTTCGGATTCTAGACCTAGATCAACAATCTGGGGTTCTTTCACAGCCTCCACAGCATTTGCAGGCTTATCGAGGCGGCGTCTTTTCAGGGGTGGGGGATCAGGGGTTTCCACAGGCCCAGGAGTTATTTCTTCCGTCCATACGCCTCTTGCGCGAAGCTCCAAAGCAGCCCGCTTTTTCTGAGACAGTTTTCCCAGTACCAACCGTGCCTCAGTAACATCGTACGTGACAGAAGCACCACAGGCAGTCAAAGATTCTTCCACTTCATGTAATTCTTCCAGGGTGAGATGCGTTGGTAAGACGAATGTCGACGGGAACAGTTTGAGGTCGATCAGTATTGGTTCCCGGTTGGGAAAGTCAAGGGTATCAGAGGCCGTCATAATGGAGGAACCAGTCCATAATCCTCATTCTGGCAAATTTGGCGAGCAATGTCACAATTTCGATATAAAAAATGGCACGGAATAGTCAATGGGCTCAGCACGGTTACTCAAAGCTCGAACCAGTTCGTGGCCATTGGCCGGTTAAATTCACAGACAGGCGAGGAATGAAAAAGGCCGAAAGTTAAGTTAAAGAAGGAATATATATATACATGGCCGTACAGGCCTAAGGAAAGGTAGAAAAGGCGAAGACGACAATCCGGTTATCCCCAAGATCCTCGTCGCCGTCGTTGAATCCAAGAAGCGATGACGACGATCGGATAAGATAAGGCCGGATAAACTATCAGCCGATTATCCGCGAGTTATATAATCACTAGTTACAACCGGAGGCGGACTAACTAGATGGGGATTAGCCCCTTGCTTAGTCAGTCCGCCGTGCTCTCATCGAACCTCTTATCAAAGGTTGATAGACACAGCAGATCAGCCTCACTTCTTCGATGATTCAAGGCCAATGTTGCCTTGGGCTGAGAATCTCATTGACTAGCTAGGAGAAATTAGACAGCGGATTTGATTGGCGAAACACAGTCTAAAAACAAGTGGTTTGTCGTCAATGCTCTGTTGCTTATAACCGTTCTAACCATTTGATATAGAGTCTAAATAAGTTTGTCGTACGTTACTCCTTGATTATCTGGCTTGGTTTATAGCCGCTTGGTCCTTTGCAGTTGAGTTCCGTCCTCATATCAGAGACATGCTGAGTCGTATTTCCGTCGTTATCTTTCAACTTGCACCTGGCTCTTGGTTTTTTGTATTGATAAGTGTACCGGTCTTGATAATGTCAGAAGGTTGTCCAGATTGTATAGGCGATGTGTCTCCCCGCTCCATATCGCTGATGGCTTCGCCTTCGCCCTCATGAGTCGTATATTTGCTCGAAGCCCATCGTCGCCAGCGAGGGTAAAGTAGCACACTGACAATTCCAAACAAGATAAAACATCCGCAAATTGCGCCACCAATAACATCATAGTACTCCCCCGCCGTCTCCACGCCATCCCAAAATTTACCTTTGGGTTCTGCAGCGTTCAGGATGAGAGTTAGAAGCTGGAGGACACCAATCACTATCGCGACAATAACAGTCAAACAGGTCAAAACGATTGAATAGTAAAGAAATGCGACTGGGTCTCGCGGGTTGCGGGATATTGCTTGAGGTTCCGCCGTGGTATCTGAGACTGGTGCTGAAACTGTGGAAGACGAAGAAGATGAAGGGAGAAAGTGGGCAGCGGGTTGGATATATAGGGACAGCATGAGGGCGCCATCAATGGTGTCAATAAGACACATTCCAGCTGCCGCGTAAGTTAATCGGGAGGGACAAGCAAAGCTTTTCGGGTTGATGAAGCTTACCCGTGAATAGAATTGGGAATATTAGTATAACCCAGATACTTGTTCCCCTAGCTGCTTGGATTGAAGAAATGCCCAGCAACGCGATTTCCGACGAGGTGTCGAATCCGAGCCCAAATAGGACTCCCAAGGGATACATCTTCCACGGACTTGAACCAGAGTTTGTCAGGAATAAACCCAAGGGGAGAGAACTTGAAGTAATCTAACTTACCGGTTGATCAACTTGAACATCGTCTTGAGGATCTTAAACAAAATTCCACCTCCCTCGATCTTCCAAATGTTCTCTTCACCGTCTTTGGTACGCAAAACTTTCTTCATCTGCTGGATCAATTTATACAGAATATATGCATTCATGATACCCCAGGAGTATCAAGAACGCAGAGCTCACAGAGCTCCCGATGATTCCACCCACTCTTCCATACCGGTCGAATTTAGAAGATACAGCCGCCGCAGTCGCGGCTACCACGATCGAAGTTATTATAACGATCCTACGTTATGTTGAGTTATTCGCGGCAAAAGTACTGCCATCCTGGCTAAAAGGGAAGAAAAATAGAGTCGCTCACGTTGAATGTCCAAGAGAGAAGAAAGTGCCTACGGTTACTGCCTTTTGACCTGTGGCGAGAAGACGACGAGTCATGAGATCAATAGCCTGGATTGTTTTAACTGTTTCAGCGCACCTGTTGTTTGGTGTATGATAAAGACACAAAGGTACGTACTGATATATGGTCGGCGTCAAGAGCATGTCTCAAACCCAGGGTATAAGAAAGCACTGCTGTCGAAACCAGCGTTCTAGAACATACAGGATTTACCATCAGCAGAGGGAAGAATGCCAAAGGATTGGCTCAGTGAAGACCTGCACTCTGGCACGCTGATTTCCCAACTACTTACGGGTTGAAATGCTATTATTTCCTCTGTCAGCAAAATGATATCGACAAGTTCCGAAAGAGTTGAAACATCGGAGAAGTACAGAGCCAACAGCCCCTTTTACCACTCAATGACACCTGTAGCGGAATGTGGACAATGCTGGGTTATCGAAAGCTCATATGCACCATGTTTATACCTCGATACAGATTTTTTTGAGGAGGAAGTTATATCTACAAGGTGTTATTCCTTCCAACAAGTCTGCCTTTTGCATACAAGCCAGTGGACATCACAGTCGCTTACCACAGCAGTATAGAAATTATACGTACCAGGACAATACCCGCAGCTATCCAAACCAGAACATTCACCGCTGCGACCAGTAAAATAATTCCGATTGCCGCAAGTGGAATTCTTCTCAACACAGGAATCTGACTATGGGACTTTTGAAAGAACCCCTTAGCAGACTGAGAGAAATTCACAGTGTTGCCCGTCTCGAGGGGTACAGCACGATCCTCAGTAGTGGTGGTGTCAGGCCCCATGATTTAGCACGGAATACTCGAAGCAAAACCCTCAGAAACACACAAACAATTCTTCCACAGAACAAAACTGAGCAAAGTCAACGGGTGGGTTCTCGTTAGAAGCTATATACACCTCAGATATAGCGGGGTAGTTGCAGCACTCTTGCTTTTCTGCGCGGAACAAGAATTGAATTCGGCCAGTCACGGAGAGAAACTGAACAAAAAAAAGTAAAAGCTAGACGTCGACAGCAGTAATAATGAGACCACGAATTACTAACTTAACTTTATAACCCTCAAGCCTGTTCCGCACCCAGCAGCCAAACGGGTTGGCGGTGGGGGGGGGGGGGGGGGGGGGGGGGGGGGCTCGGGTAACGGAATTCCTCATCCAGTTTCCCAGGCCAAGGATGAAGTTTGAAGACCATCATCGAGAATGTTGACTACCTTGCTAGCCGGGAATCAAGCAAAAGCTAAGCCCATCCTCGCTTTTCCCACCCGGGCATGGCGAATTGGATCAGCTGGGATTGTTGCATGCAGGGTGGAAGCGAACCAGGGGGGGTTCAAAAACAAGAATTTTTTTTCCCGTTTAATAACTTTTTACCTCGACACACACTACTTTTAGGGATCGAAATATAAAAGACAGGACAGACTTACTCTGTCGGGAAATTTAAAATTCAATAGATACTGTTTGGTGAAGTCCGTATGTTCTGAAATTGTGCTTGGCGTCAAGACCTTGAGAGTTTGAATGACGTCTTGGACATAGCCTAATTAAGCTTATCTTGATATCAAATTAAAGGCACCCGGGCGAGCTGCTGTGTAACTGAACTGCCAAACACATGGCATTTTGTTCATGAAGCTGAAGAGGACATTTGGAGCGATGACTGTACGACAAATAGCTGTTGCTTAGTACCTTGATGTTTTTGTTTGTTACCATCGTGGAAATTAAGAATCCCCATTCCACCATCGCCGATTGGTCGCCGAGTATTTCGCTGAAGCAGACATCAAAGCGGCCTATGCGCCCAATTAAATTCCCCACAGCAACGCAAAGACAACAGAAAACAGGAAACAAGGCTTACGGATGAAAAAGTATGGACATGATCAGAAGAATTAACATATTGTAGGGCACAAAGTGAAGAAAAAAAAAAGATTTTGGGTATTTTGCTAAAAGGGGATTAAAAGCTGATACACACGAAATAGATCGCCGGGGTTTCAAATGAATCGGAATCATTTAAACGATAGTCAAGAGCGTTGCGTTCGTAAAACCCAATGGCTGTCAGCCTCGCCGTCTTCATCATCTAACTGCTGGAGGGCTTCGTGTTCAACGTCTCGGTCATGATATTCATTATCGGGGGATATAGGGCGAGAAGGATCAGAGACCTGGAATTCTGCATCCCAATCCACACTTGGGGCTTCTTTGCCAAGCAAAAACTTCCCGAATTCTAGGACAGCATTGTAAACTTCTTTGCCGGTAGGAATAATGTTGCTCCTGGGCAACAAGAAGCCATAGCTGCCCTTGTCCCGCAGCTTAAGCTGATAGGCGTATCGAACATGTAGGTCATGGTAGAACCAATCGAGGGCGCTTCCTCCAGCGCTCTCCATGCGCTTCAGCGCAGGGCCTTGCTTTTTCTTCCCAGAGTTAACAGACCCTTGGCAGGCAGAGCTCACGTCATAGTGTTCGTTGTCTGTCCGTCGAATAGCCCTAGAAATTCCAATGGCCAGCTCTTCGAGGTTTTCCAGCGTTGGGGGAATATTATTGCAGGAATAGGAATACGGATATAGGATTTGTTGAGAGTATGAGTGGAGGTCGAGGAAGCCTATAAAGGTAACGTTATTATTCATCGTCTGGTTTCGCGCCCATTGTGAAATTCGTTGTGCTTCTGTTCCCCCAAACGGGCCATCTCCAGCAAAATCCTCAGAGCACGGGTTGCTTCTACTGTCGGTGCCATCCCATTCAAAACCCCAGGTGCGATCAAGGTCGACGCCTGGACAAAACTGTAGATTGTTCTCTTGTCGATTTTTTCGCCAAAGTCGGTCGGTTTCCCAAGTATACACGTACCCGTCTGGGTTCATAGTCGGAACTAGCACCCAGTCGAACTCTTCGATTAGCTTGGTGATGGCTTTCGATTTACCGTACCCCGTGATGAGAGAGTATGCAACGTAGTTCACTGTAGAAACGCTGATCCACTCTCTTGCATGCGAGCCACCAGTAATAATGATAGTTTTGCGTTGCCCAAACGGATTATCAGGATTCATGGGGTGGGTGCCGATCCGGAAGGCAGTAATGTCCCGTCCTTCGTACGATGTACCCAGACTTATCAAGCTGACATGTGTGGAAAACATCGAGGCTAACAGACGCATCCAAGGAGTCATCACTGAGAGAGGCTGATAATCCTGAAAGAAAATATTTTGGGCTTCGGAAGACAGGCGGATTGAAGGGGAAAAGGCGCGATGAGGGTTGGGGGTCGAAGAGGAAGGTTGAGGATAGGATTCGTATACTGCTTGGGCGAGGTCATGGATAACAGGGACACTGGCGGCTTTTAACGAACTAGGAAGCAGTCCCAGGAGAGATGGGACCTTCAGAGGATGATAGGGTTAGCATAAGCGAGCAGCTTCCTTGGAGCACCGACAGACACTCACCACATCCTTCGCCAATCTGATATCCACCCATTCATCTGTAGACGCCCAAATATCCAGGAACAGGATATTAGAGGCCTCTACCAAAGCTTGTATATCGCTTTGGGATTGGATCGTGAATCGAAGCACAACATCGTCGCCATACCGTGCTCGGATAGAAGCCGGAGCTTTACGTGACGAAGCGGGGGACTTGATCCTCGACGGATGGCGTTGCTGGCTTGGAACCCGCCAGATAGTCTCTATAATCGAGTTACGCAGCCTAGTCCATAGTCTGGGTGAATGCCATTCCTGCGTAGGGAGAGCCGCAGAGTTGGATTCGGTTAATAAGGCAGCCGGGAACTGTGGATTGGAAGACGACGGGACGGCAGAGGCAAGAGGCGTGTAAATTAGCGCAACGGCTGTAATGACTGGCAGGAGATGCATTCTTTGACTGTCTATTGTCTCACCTCAGCAGATGTCAATGGAAGACGCATGGTGATGCAGATAGATGCATTGTGGAGTGAAGGGTGGTGGGTTCAACGAGATGCGACGAAAGCGGGCGCAGTTGGCCAGCCCAAGCCAAGCGCTTCTGGCGCTAGTTATAGTTAATTAGGCCTTGTGTATAAGCGGGACAAGGCCTAGCCCAGGCGCCTCTCGATCAGGAGAAGAGCGGGATTGTTCGTGCATATGTATGCATTTTCCCAGAGATTGAGAATGGCTGTGTTTAGCCCCTTGCAGTGACGCAGACACACTGTTTGCCTTATTGTTTTTGTTATTCCTTATCTGACTCCAGTCTGCATCAAAACCCTGCAGCAAAAGGTCCATTTTCCCTTTGAATCACAGGCTCAGGAGTCCTCATCCCAAAGAAGCAAATAAGGACAACAAAGTAATAGTTAGTCAACAATAAATCCTCAAACATGAGACGCCATGATCGACAATGCAACATCCCCTAACCTAGAATCATTTGCCTTTGATGACTATGTAGCCATGAGGCAAAAACACCCCTAAATCGTCTGAAACTTCGGTACGGAGTAGAGTCGGAGCTGTACTTCCCTTCAGTTTGTGTCCAGAACCCGACTTGGGATGTTCCCCTGGCCACCCGCCTCGCCCTCCTGTTGTTGGTCTCTGCGATCGTGACCAAATTCTTGTCCTGATTGGATTGCCAGCGCCCGGATTACGTTGACGCTCATACTGTAAGGAGTCGCGGATGCAGCCCTGCAGCTGTCCGGCTCCCGCCACTTTTGACTTCATCTCCAAGCGGGTCTTAACTTCAGTCCATTCCAGAAGGGAGGAGGCCAATCAGAACCGCATTCCGATCCGCTCGCCGCGAGCTTTCAGAGAGCAGCCTTGCAAAATCCACTGCCTGCTGTGAACTCGTCCAACAACAGAAAGTCCAAATCTGGATGCTCGGCGATTTTGTCTGGGATGCAAGTGTGTTTGGGTTTCGCTCCTTAGCACCCAACTGTTGTGCCTGTGCGTTCACCTCTGATCTCCACCCTCTTCCACCTCCCACGTCAGCCTCTCCAGAGCAAAGCGTCATTCCCCTGCTATCAACAGATAGAAATTCAACATTCACCACATCTGTTTTGACTTGCGACTGTTGTTATAGAGAAAGTCTGTACCGACTTCAATTCTTCAGCTGGCTAAGCATTGGTTGCTGACATCTTCCTGTCGACGCCGCAGACATCCAATTGCTTCCGCTTCCTGGCCCGCTCTTGACTGTCCCGACCTGAGGCGCCCTCGCTGCTAGACGCGCCTTGCAATCATCTTGCGAGTCCAAAGTCTTCCCTAATCAGAAATCACAGTTCACCAAAGCTTGGGTGGTCTTAACATGAATGGACGAGTCTGAGCGAATGACCATGAGCATTGTCGGAAGAGCTGCTGCATAATGCCGTGGAAAGGATTGAAAATCGGTGGCACCGGCCAAAAAGGCGGTTCAGACAAAACGCAGAGAACGGATTCAAATATTCCAGCTCGATTCAGTGACCATGCCCCCCGCGCGGTTCACTCCAGCGAACACATAGTTCCCCAAGCACCCGAATTGCTATCTGCCCCTCCTCAGAAAATACCTTCCTCATCCTTTGATCACGGCGAAAGAAAGGCGACGCAACTTGAAAGTCGTGCTCTTCGAGCTCAGAATACCAAACGAAACAGATTCAGCTTGTTGAGGTTTCGCCATGCCTCTGATCCTCAGCTGTCAGCATCGTACCATGATGGAGAGCTTCCACCTGTTCCAGCCATTCCTAAAAGCGCTCAAAGTAAGTCATTGGGGCCAGTCGCTATTCCTGAACCATCCCCCGGCTAACAACTTACTGTGCAGCACCAAAAATAATCACAACGTCCCCAACCACCGATAACCTTGACCAAGTCGCAAAACGCAAAAGTATCTTCAAGCTATCCCATCCTAAAGCACCGATTGAAAAGCCCAAGTCAGCTGGAACCAGCCCTACTCCCCTGACTAGTAATTCTCTGCCCCCGTTTCCAGTCTCTGCCACGGCTCCATCGAGCGTTAGGGCCTCCCATATCAGTTTCGAGGAGCCCCAAGGACGGCTCTCAACTGCCTCTTTACGTAGTGGCCCCGTCCGTTTTCAAGACGGTACACACCACGGCCTGCTCCCTGCGGCCAGGGTATCAGAATCATCAAGGTCCGATGGAAGTTCAGCGGAACATGGCGTTTACAACAGCGCGTCAAGAACGGATGCCTCCTCCAGTACCTCTTCGTTTTTCCGTCTTCCGAGATTGAAGAAGAATCGACACAGTCTTCTCCCATTTCCCGCAAAAATTCCTCTATCCGGGCAGTTCCCAAAACCTGACCTACACACGCGTGCGATGCCTACTTCATCCATCGACCAGGATCGAGAGCTTCTTTCTCCACTTCCATCCCCATCCCGCTCATCTCTTGGTCGTGCGGCCCAAACCCCAAGCTCTCCCGAACCAAACCTCTTGCGCAATAATTCAATCGCGTCCGCTCATTCTGTGAGATCTTCCCTGTCACTTAGATTGTCAAACAGGCCGACTCGTCGAGGAAGATCATCGACGATAGGCTCTCTTGCTGATATTCAAGATGATGCTCGCCAGTCATCTGCCGAGATCGTCCCGTCTAGTCGCACGTCAACGTTCACTGCTCCACGAAAAAGTTTCAGCGACATGTTTAGCCCTTCACAAAGGTCGAAGCACCAAATAGAAAGGTTTCCACCAGAAAGCCCTTCCGATAGAGTTCCAGGAACCCCTCAGTCGGCGATATCCAAACCAAATTCTTTTTCGATAGCACGAGAAGTAGCTAGCTGCCCTCCTAGAGAACCGGACGATACTCCAGGGACTTATCTTAGCCGGCTCGAGAATACTGTCCATAGGGCAGCCATTGCTACAATTCTGTCTCAGGGAGCGGATGACTTCTATAAAACAGCGCTAAGAAAATATATGCGCAGCTTTTCGTTTTTTGGAGACTCGATGGATATGGCAATTCGAAAACTCCTCATGGAAGTAGAGTTGCCGAAAGAGACCCAGCAGATAGACCGCGTTCTCCAAGGATTTGCCGATAGATACCATGAATGCAACCCGGGTATCTTCGCGTCAACCGGTAAGTCCACGTAGACATAACTTTCTCTATTTAAGAGTCTTGCTGATGCCTAGTGGGGATTTAGACCAAGCTTATTTCATTGCGTTCTCCCTGTTAATTCTCCATACGGACGTCTTTAACAAGAATAACAAACGAAAGATGCAGAAGCAGGATTATGTCCGCAACACGAGAGGCGAAGGACTAGCAGAAGAGATTCTCGAATGCTTTTACGACAATATCTGCTACACTCCTTTCATTCATGTGGAGGACGAAGTGAATTTGGGGGTGCGGCGACTAGGACCCAAGTCGCGTAGTCCTTTGTTCAAAGTTGCGGGCTCCGATCATATATCAAGGGCCTCTAGAGATCCTGTTGACCCATATACTCTGATCCTCGAGGGTAAACTTGGAGCTCTACGGCCAAATTTCAAGGATGTCATGGATTTGGAAGACGTATACAGCACTTCGGGGCTTGATCATTCACGGGATATGAACGAGCTTCATCAACTGTTCTATAAGCCGTGCGTCTTGCAGATAGTGTCGGAAAGGTCCCGGCCGGATGCTTTCGTGACACAAACTTCCATCGCGAACCCTGCGGAATCGCAACCGGGATTAGTAGATATCAGAGTGGCTAAAGTTGGGCTCCTGTGGAGAAAAGACCCTAAAAAAAAGAAGACCCGATCTCCATGGCAGGAATGGGGTGCTGTGCTGACCGGCTCACAGCTTTATTTTTTTAGAGACGTCCAGTGGGTAAAGTCGTTGATATCACAGTACGAGTCGAGACAGAATCGTGGCCGTCGCCACGCTGTGGTTTTTAAACCTCCTGTTTCTGATTTTAAACCCGACGCTATCGTTTCCACCGCCGATGCCGTGGCGTTACTGGATTCAAGTTACAAGAAGCATAAACATGCCTTTTTGTTCGTTCGCCATGGGGGATTTGAGGAAGTCTTTTTAGCGAACAGCGATACCGAGATGGACGATTGGATCTCCACCATAAATTATGCAGCTGCATTCAGAACCACAGGTGTCCGGATGAGGGGAATGATCGGTGCCAATTATGAAGGCTACCTCCCCCAGAAGAGTGCTCGAGCAAACTCGATAACGTCGGATACATCTGAGACACCTACAGTGTCTGAACTCGCTCTTGCGAATACTAGAAGGATGGATCCACGTCTGGCAGAAGAAGTTTTTGCGGCTCGTCGCGAACTGGTCTCGACAAGGATAACGGAAGCGAACGAGAAGTTATCCTCGACTCAAAAACAGCTGGAAGACCTCCTCCAAAATGCGAGGCACCTCCAAATCCTAACTCCTATTCACCCTCGTGCCAGGGACCAGGTTCTGCTTGCAGCCGGGCGAATGGCAGCTAAAATTAAATGGGTTCGATTGGATATTTGGCGATCGAAATGCCATCGAGACGTGTTGGCACTCGATTTAGAGGAAGAGGAGAAGCATCTATCTGTGAAAAGGGTTCCTCCAAGCAGCACCCCAAGTGGAAACGAATTATGTTCGGTTTCCAGTCAGGAGCGACCGCTGGCATCAGAGTCTGCACCGAGCTTAGCTCCCACGTCCCCAAGGAGCAACCGGTCCTCCAAACGACCACGTTCACGCTCTCCAACGCCAGTTAGAGCAGCTAGCCCACCCGATGGTTCTATCGAACGTGTTTCAGTGAATATTCACAGGCCCGGACCCCCGAAATCCCTCACGGCCTCTGACATAGCCGCTCAAACGCGGAAGCCTTCAATCTCTGGGAGCAAAGATGACGCCAGTATTGATTTATTAAAGAAGCCAGGGGAGACTGGGCTCCCACGTGAGGCTTCAGTGACTTCGATAAGCGGTCACCGAACCCCAACTCCCAGTGTATTTGATAACGAGGAAGAGCGTCTTCTTCGGGAAGCGGGGATCTTATCCAATGAACTATTGACGCAAATGTCTGCCACCGGCGAAGCGGTGGATGGATCCAGTAACGCAACTCTTGACGGTCCTATCGAACCACCGTCTAGCGAAGGTCGAAGCAAGGTTCGCAGAAGTCTGCATCGGACGCTTCGTGAGGGCCATTTAATCCCCCATCATCAGCGCAGCAAAAAAGGTAAAGATTCTGCTTCGATGATCTCCACAGCCAGCGACGGAAATGTCCCTGCAGAAACTGAGGTTCTGCCACGAGGTACTGGAAGTTTCACTCTTCACGGAAAAAAGGCATCTGTGGTTACCTTTGGTTCCGAATGGGAAAACATGTCGCCGGAACAACGGTTAAAACAACGTAAACCTATTGACCCCGAAGATTCGCATCCATCAGGGATACCGGGCTCAGACGGCCAGGTTGACCTACCGACCTCAGAAAGTATTAGCGGTAAAAAGACGTACTCGCTCAGGTCTGTGAGCACCACCACAGCCAAAAGCGTCCGGCAACGGGATAGTACTCAGGAAAAGATCGGTGACCTTACCTCCCCTGGAGGATCTTTAGCTGAGATCAGCTCCCCACATAGCAATGAGCACAGCGGAACAATCGACGCAGATTCCGTTATTATTGAAGAAGAGGAAGACTCCCATGAAGAACCCCACGATCCACCGGTTCAACCTGCAACGGCCAAGGAACAGTTTAAGAACTCGACCGATGAGCCAGAAGAATCAGTCCTGACTTCTGCAGAGATGGGACCGGCCATTCATGATACTCCTCTTCAAGCAAACCGCATTGTTTCGGAACAAGCCATTGAAGCGTAATTCGCTCCCTTGATAACCTCTGTGCATCGTTGACTCCTTTGACCTCTTTGACATCTTTAACCATCCTTTTATCCCGATTCCCTTATCACGATTGTTACGATTGCTCGATTCCCACTCAATGTTCTCATCTTCATTTGTTTGCAATGTCGTTTCTTGCATTTGTTTCCCCAAATCCCATTTGATATCCGCAAATGCCGCCGGCAATAAACCTGTACTACATATTCAGTGTGTGCATTGATAATTCAAAAGCTCCCATACCTACTTTGTACCTCATATTCCCCTTTCGCTTTACCCTTCTGTCTCCGAGTGGCTTTCGCCGTCCTTTTTCCCCCTAGCATGATGTATGATGTCGACCTCTAATCGTTGCATGTTTCCATAATCTCCCCATTATCTTGTGTGGAACCTCAGAAAATAGGCCTTGCAGATTGTTTCTTATCCCGATTTGGCAGAGGTCTGATATTGTGACCCATTTGCAATGTGCCTGTCTGTGCAAAGCTCTGAAGACATCTGTGTTTTAAGTTGCCTGCAAAAAACAATAAATATGATTATTGAGGTTGAAGTCAGGAATATTTCAGTGTGTTTTCCATTCACAGCTTAAGCGAAGCATTTTGATACCCAAAGAGGTAATACATTGGGCTCACGTGAGCAGGAACAGTATTTAAACAACAGAAAGCATTGCTGCATTGTTTTCCCCTTGTTCCTTTATATCCTTTCTCTCTTTAGAAGTTATCTGTTCATGTTTTAAAACAAGATATTGCTATCCATAGTAAGTTAACATAAATCCAAAACTTAGATCGAATATCTTTGACAATTCAAAGCAAGCCATATAGCTCTTCCTGCCATTGTACCATGGGCATGTCTGAGGCTTCCCCTGCCTCTAGGCAGTCCAATATCGCTCCTCCTGATGGTAAGGATGCCGGAGAGGCGGGCCATCTCAAAGATATTATATTTCCGTGCTCACAGTAAGCGGGTGGGCTTAGGAGAACGGCGAGTAGATGATAGCCGATTTTCGAAAGACTCTACCGAATCTAAAGGTCTCGATTCAGCGGACTTGCTTACTAGCGATGATGATGATGAATATATTGGCAGTGGCTCAGAGGATTCTAACCTGCCAGATTTTCCTGGTATTAGGGAGCGGATAATCAAAATTGTGAGTGGTGTGGAACCCCTTGATAGGATATGGCTAGGATAAATGGAGGAGAGAGCCATAGAAGTGGCTAACAACGATGCTGTATAGGAAAGGGGTTCACCCTTCAAGGGCGGTTTGGACACAACGGCTTCCCGCTTGCTTATGAGCGAGGGAATGGGGTGGATACCCGCCAGTTGCGACCGTAGGGGAATGGGGCTCGTTGCAATGACTGAGATGACCCGAGGCCATTTAATTGCCCATGAAACAGTGATGGTTGTGGACGAAACATTGGAATCCATGGGAGGTTCGATCAAAGATTACAACGAGATGCTCGCACAGCGTCTCAAGGCAGTAAAGAACAATCAGAAGTTTGCCCATTACTTCTTTGGCCTCGGAAAAGGTTCAGAAGAGAAATTTGGAAAGCTAGGCGCCTATTTTGAGAGGAACTGCATTCCATGCCCCCTTCCGTCGGGACGCAAGGTCCGAGTGCTTGGTCCCTGGATCTCGATTATCAACCACTCTTGTGCACCAAATGCGGAGCAGACTCTCCTCGAAACTACAATCGGAGGTACCAAGTTTAGCTTCGTCGACATACGCGCATGCCGAAAAATAATGCCAGGGGAAGAAATCACAGTGTCGTACCAAGATATATACCTAACTGCCGCCGAAAGGAAAAAATTCATGGACAAGAAATTTGGCTTTGAGTGTGCTTGCAAATGCTGTTTGCATCCAAACCCTCATTTGGAAGCGGACTTCCGTTTTGTAAAAAGGAAGCTTCCAATCGTGCTTTCGCCGGCCGTGGGTAGGACCCAGCCTGCTAAAGCTCTGAAAAACGCATATCATGTTCTCAGCAGGCTTATGAGAAACGGAATTCAGGATCGGAGGTATCCTGATATCCTGGCCTACTGTGCGAGAATATGCGCGTTCCACTCAGATGTAGGCCGAGTGTTGGCCTTTTTGAATACAGCACAAGCGGCTTTTTACAGAACCCAAGGCATTGATGGGCCGGACCTTGCGAAATTGCTTGAGATTGAAGCAAATGTTGAGTTACTAACCCGTAACCGCGACTCGTTGAGGGGTCGGTCGGCCATCCAAGAGGCACAGGTGGTTGGGGTACTTGACCACGAAGGATGCAGGATTGGATTCATGCTCCAGGTCAACGATTGCGACTACCTCCGGCTATGTGACGCCAAAAGATCGGATAGGAAGAGCGGAGCGCCAGGGCTGCTGGATGACAGGGCTAGTGGCAACGAGCTGCCGGACTTGCCAGCGCTTCTACAGGACCTTGCCTTGGAGAAAAAGGAACATGATGAAATGAGGCTTCGTCCGAGGAAAGAGAAAAGCGCTCAAAAGAAACGAAGAGCTCAGAACAAGAAGTAAGGAGGGCATGGCTAGGCCGCAGGGTCTGAATACGCTCCTCGTCGTCAGTATGGCGGATAGTCTGCTTAGTCATCAGATATCTGCAGCTCGAAGCTGCACCTCTTTGATAGCACGGTGATTTACATACAATACCGATTCTCTATGCTTGTTTGACCTTTCTCTTTGAATTCAATGTTTTCCTAATATCCACTCCATCTGTAATGGCTCATTCCAAACGTAATACCTCCCTCCCCCATTTTACTTCATATGAGCGGTCTTTACTCCGGGTCCACCTGGGGCTCCCAGAGCACCAGACTATCGCGAGAATCCTTTCTCCCATTCTCCTCTTGCAGACTTTGCCTTCAGCCCGCCCGCGCGCCTGTGGTTGCATGTTCTACGAATGGCGATCTATTCTGTCGAGAATGTGCCGTGAACGACCTCCTCGCCCAACGGAAGGAAATCAAAAGGTTGGAAAAGGAGCGCGAGCTAGAGCAGCAGGAGAGAGAGGAGCATGATGAGAGGCTTGCGCAGGAAGCAAAAGAACGAGAGTTGAAGGAGTTTGAAATGATCAGTATGGGATTGGAGGATCGGAAAAGAAAGCTTTCGGACCGAGCTGCGGGTGAGGCGAGTCCGGGGAGTGATGGAGGATTGCCAAAGAAAAAACGGAAGGGGTTCGAGCTGGATGAGGCGGAGTTGCGGAGGGTTGCGAGAGAGGAGCGGGAAAGGATTAGAAAAGAGATTGCACGGGAGAGAGTGAGTTGGCAACCGGACTGCATGTCTTTTCCACTTGAGATTTAGGCTGACAGCATCCTTTAAGAGTGAATCGGCGAGGCCGCAGATGCCTTCCTTCTGGATACCATCCTTAACCCCATCCACGGAGAACGGCGCCAATGATGCAAAACCAGCGAAATTGAATCCTATTTGTCCCGCGTCGACGCCTACGAACAAGCATGGCTACTCTTTAAAATCCCTCGTGACAGTGAACTTTGCGGAAGAGAAAGACGACCAGTCTGGACAAATGGTACGGATATGCCCAGCGTGTAAACGATCCTTGAATAATGGTGTCAAAGCGATGCGTAAGTTTCAACTTGAAAGAAATTGCGATATAACCACGTCTCTAATCCGGCCTTTAGTAACGAAACCATGCGGACATGTAATATGCAAACCCTGTGTTGAGAAGTTTATGACACCGCATAAGGATCCGGACCCGCATGCTCAAGACTCGGAAGACGCCCAGCTCCATGGTCGGATGCTGTGCTATGTATGTGAGACAGATATTACAGAGAGGAAATCTAAAAAGGAGGGCAAGAAAGACAAGGACAAGGAAAAGATACGTCCCGGCCTAATTGCTATTTGTTCTGAGGGAACTGGGTTTGCTGGCGGAGGAACGAATCTTGCGAAGAAAGCTGGGACGGCCTTCCAATGTTAAGAATCATATTCGAAGAATTGACCTTGTACAAATGCTCCCCTATACCCATTTCAAATAAGCTCTATATTATACATAATATCCCGGATTTGTCCCGAGAACCCAAGGGGTGAAAACGTTTGGCCGGTAAATTTCAAATATCACGACGGAAGCGCCTTTCTATTGCTTGCCTTGGCAAATTCTCTCACGGTTATTTCACACTTTATCTCCTGGCACAGTCTCTTCTTTCGGTCCGGTGCAAGTTTTGAGGTAAATTCCAAACCACTAGCACGTTCCACGGCCTCCAATGGCACCTCAAAATCCGACAGACTCTTTTCATTTGGAATCCGAGCGTTCGGCAGCACAAATGCGCCTAAACTAACTTTTCCTCCCGCTTTACCGTCCTCCGCAAAGATAACCTTGTAAAAGTGTGTGGGAACGGCAACGTTCGGCGGGTTCCCAATAACTTCATAGGAAACCCTCCACTTCCCATCCGCAGGATCTTTTTTCGGCAGATACAGTGGACCCGTGACGATACGAACAGAAGGATATTTTGTCGTCAGCCTACGACAAAAGTCCTCAAAATGTGCCCAGTAATCGCGGTTGAACCCCTCTCCTACCTGGGGGCACATGTTGCTCAGCGCAAAGGTCGCATCCATGGCATCCTGGCTCCATTTCGCATCTGCGGCGGGCACCTGATGTCCACGGTCATATCCTGAGCGGAAGTAATCGCTCAGTTTAGCACGAAACGCGGACGGAATACTCTGATCTTCGTAGAAGGTGCTGTTTTTACGATCGGCGTTGTTCAGTTTAAGGGATTCGGGTGTGATGTGCTCCGCAACCCAGGATGGGTTGCGTGTGCGTCGATCGTATGCGCTTGCGAGAGGGAGACTGTTCACATTGTCTGCAATTGGGCCGGGAAATCCATACTGGAAGAGGCCGGCTGGGTCGACTGGGGATGGGAATCGGGTTGGGATTTGCGGAGTAGGTGGGTGAGGAACAATCGCAGGTGATGCGGCGGGAACTGCAGGTTTGGTCGGCGCTGGTAAACTCGCCTGTATTGGCGACTGCTGACGCGAGGCCTTTGCTGAATAAACGAGCGCAGTGACGCCAGCACCAGTGGCAGCACCGGCAGCTGCGATGATAGCGAAGGTTGCCTTGGACATGTTGCAGGCGGGAGTAGAGAGTGGTAGTGAAGAGCGGACGATCGACCGGGAAGACGATCGAGCACAACAAATGGTGACTTGAAGCTCACTCCGTCTGCACGCCGTCCTGTCCCTGCCACAACGCCTGATTCCTCTTACTCAATGGAAGCGAAGATGAGGTCCGTCCTGGCTCAATTGGCGACAGCAGAGCTTTATCCAATCAGGATCGCTTTGATATAAATAAGCAAGCGGTGACCTGGATTATCTAATCTCAGGTACCTTGCGAGCAGACTAACCCCTTTTAGGACTGATACAAGGCTGAGTCATGTGACACGTCAAAACATCACCAAAAGATGAGCCTTCTTTGGAGGATTTCTGGCCGCCATGAGGATCTCCGAGGCAAGGCCTTAGACTGTGTCAAAAGAGAAGAATTAAAGCTCTATCCGGCCACAGTATCTTCCATTGGATTGTTTCATGTATTGTGCAAAACTTCATCTCATCAAATGACTGCCGGTATGCTATTACTAAGCGTGGCTTGGCGTATGTTGCTGACAAAGCGCGGGATGATGTAACCAAAGGACCTTGTTGGCCCGCAAAGGCGAACTAAGAGAATCCCGTTGAACTGCTTGAGATGTCAGGCTTCGTCCCTTGCAGTTGCACCTTGACATTATATGATTTTGTTCGACTCACATATATGCTACGTCGAGAGGTCTGATCGGAGTTGTCAGCACGATCAAAGGTGCTGTGTTAGCTTTCCGACTTTCATCTGTCGAGCGGCAACGGCGGTGCTTTAACTAGGTAGTTGTCGACACGGCGTCGAACCGTCCTCGCAGCAGCATGGGGCTTGACAATGATACTCGAGGATGGATTATGAGCTGTGTCAGCGGCGTCGGTATGCTTGGCTTTGCTCTTAAGATTACCTGGAACCTGTTAACCAAGATACAATTGTAGCCTGCGCTCTTGGCGCAACTATCATCTGCGTGGATCTAGTTGTTCGATATTGTTTTCGGAAGTCGAACTTTCAGATTGCTGACAGCGACGTATTCCTCTCGTCTTCAATGAGCTTGAGTGCAGGTGTCCTGGTGCGTACATATGCCTCGATGGAGCCCAAGTGTACGGTGCTAAAAAATTATAGCTCTTCACTTCGCTCTACAGTATGCTACCGACGTCGAAGATGTACCTCGTTCGTGCAGGCTACTCTCCTGGAATGGCTGCATTTATGCTGATAGGATTATTTCTCCTTGGAGTGGTCATTATTAAGATCGTGTCTGGCTTCATTCACCGCCATATGCCTTCACACGTGGTTGCTTGCGCTCACACCCACGAAGAAAACGGCAAAGATGTGGAAGATTCTGCTGGTTTATTGAGCTCCGATGCTCTCACACTCGGAGGAGTGACCAATGAGCAAACTCCATTATTGGCGGCGGATTCGAGTGTTTCCCAACATCAACCAGATCGGGGAGCGCAACATGTTCACTCAACCAGACCCCGTGCATCTATGGTTAAATCATTCCTGTCTGGCCCCATTGGCGGCCTAGTCGGAGTGCGAAAATCCGTCTGTGACGAAAATGGGCCGTGCTATGGTGTCTCTCAAGCCTGCGGTCAAGAGTGTATGAAATTCGCCCTGCAGAAAGACTCCGAGACTGTAGATGGACCCAGCCGGCCTATTGCTCCTCAACGCCACAGTTTCTCTGGCCCGCTGCACGTTGCGGATTCGGAACTAGCGGGAACCGACTTGGAAGGTCAAGGATCCGACATTTACTCTACTACTATAGTCAAAGTCACAAGTGATACCGACGAGACGGGTGATGTTATGGAAGCAGCCCGAGGCCACCCCCCATCGCCTTCTACGATCACTTATTCGCATCCAAAAGAGCATCACCATCATGTTCCTCAGAACGCTTTCCTATCCATTGGCTTGCAAACTTCGCTCGCCATCGCATTGCATAAACTGCCTGAAGGTTTCATCACATATGCAACTAACCATACGAATCCTACCCTTGGCTGGTCAGTGTTTATCGCACTCTTTGTGCATAACATCACAGAAGGATTCGCAATGGCATTGCCGCTCTATCTAGCTTTAAAATCCCGGCTAAAGGCCGTGATTTGGTCCAGCCTTCTTGGCGGTGTAAGCCAGCCTGCTGGTGCTGGGTTGGCTGCGTTGTGGATCTGGGGTGCTCGAAAAGCGTATCCTCACGCTGCAGGAGGCATGGAAGACGAAGATGGGGTGTCTTGGGCAGTATATGGAGGCATGTTCGCTGCTACTGCAGGCGTCATGACAAATGTCTCCCTGCAATTGTTCTCGGAAGGACTGGTGCTGTCGCACAATCAAAACCTTTGTATTGGGTTTGCTATTGCTGGAATGGGCATACTGGGACTCAGCTTTGCATTAACCGCTTGAAGCGTTCAACAGTGCATGGGTTAGGTCTTTATATCAATTGGTGTTCTTATTTTTCGGCATTAGATGTCTAGGGTTTGGGCATTCATTGTTCACCTTTTGTTCAGCATCCATTTCGCTTGGTTTCTTTTTGTTTAGCCGTATGATGTTTTCATGATGATGAGGCTATGACTCTTGAAAAGTGTGTCATCTTGGCAAGTATAGCTAGTTTATAAGGGGTTAAGATCATTGAGGTGATTGTTCAATGATATAGATGTCAAAATTAATTTATCCAACGACATTTGAATTGGAAAAACCCAATTGGGCGGAATATGACAAGAGTTCCAGTAGATTATGTTCCTGCCGCCTTCTCCTTCTCTCTCTCTCTCTTTCTGGCAAGATACCGTTCTTTAGCGCTCATCACATCGCTCTCCGACTTCTTACTCTTGTTCTTCTCTGCCAGCTCCTTGACTCGAGCCTCTTCCTCCTGCTTCTCTATTCGCATTCTCTCTTCTAACTGGGCAGCCAACATCTCCGTTTGCCTAGCTCGTTGCTGTGAACGAGCAGAGCCTGCACCGAAACGATCAGGCCTCACGTCTCGTACACGCGATTCGGTTGTGGAGCGGGCACGAGTCGCTTTCTGCTTCGGTTTAGAAGCAACATTCAGCCCGGCGGAGAGAAGCTGTCGTTTATCAACGACCTCCCCTTCATCGTTGACGATGATGCTGGCGCCACGAGCATTAAGTTCTGCGGCGATTTGCGCAGCAGACTTATCTTCTGGCTCCTTCTTATCTTCGTCATCCGCCTTTTCTGCCCTATTCCTCACAGCTTCTTCCGCTGCCTTGACAGCTTCTTCGTGCTTTTTCCCATCCCTAGCTAACATATCCTTGTAAAAACCCATCATGCCCATGCCTTTCTTCCTCCTTTCCTCCTCTTCTTTTTCCTTAGCAGCCTCCTCGGCTTCAATTTGTTTTACTTCTTCCTGCTGCGCCTTATACGCCGCTGTCACGAACTTCTCTTTATCCGCGTACTCGTCGCCTTCTGCTTCGCGTTCACGAGCTAGCAATTTATCGCGTGCGCGGAGTTGATCGCGTTTGCGGACTTCGGCACTACGGAGCAAGGAGGTTATGTATTTGGGTTCTGAAGCAGCAGCGGCAGAGGTTGAGGATTTCGTGGGTTTCGCGTGGATAGAGTCGTAAACGGCATCATAGTCGTATATGCTAGGATCGAGGGAAGCAGCCTCTCGAGCGTGCTTGGTGCTACTGTGGAGGGCTGAAAGATTGGCGTAATCCTCGCCCTTGCGGTCAACGGGCTTGGAGGATCCGCTTCGTGAAGGTGCCTTCTGTTGTCTCTTGGACGGAGGCTCCTCCGGTC